GTGTTGGAGATGTCTGTATAATAGGACCGGAAAGAACGTTATGCCCGGGCAGGGTCCATGTTCACGGTGCTATGATCTATGAGCCTTTTATAACTTTATATTAACCCAAAGGATTCTGTTTTAATGGAAGTTGGGGATATTAAAAACAAGACAAAATGTTTTTCCCCACTCAGTCTTTCCCGTGTTTAACATGAGGTAATGTAACATAGAATTGTTCTTAACTGAACAGTGTATGTCAAGAATTTTAAGTCATTTAAATTTGTCAGTAAAGTGAACTTTAGGTAATAATTTTACCTTGTGAATGGCAGTAAAATACTTTTAGACATTATTAGCAGATTTTTAGAGTTCCCAACTCCTTTCCTGAAAGCGAAAAGAAAACAAAATTTTACTTGTCATATGCTTAAATTAGTTTGTCATTAAATATCAGCACTCTGGAAACAAACAAAATGCAAACCAACCCAGCGTAATCTTATGCAGTTTTTAACAATAGCAAGCACACTGTTTTTAATGTTTTGCTGTAGCATAAATCACTGACTCCTGGTCTTTTCAGTATTTAAAATACTCTAATTTCTGGTTTAACCCCACTGTCCTACCCCTAGTATTTTCCAGGTGTTTATAAATTTTGTTTTAATTAAAAGGGAGTGTTAATTATTTTGGTTTTAATAATATTCTGGTAGCTTCCTGACTGCCTGGGAGTGTCTGAGGAGAGCCTGGCTATAGAGCGGTGTTGGTGTAGCAATGTCAAGACACTCCCTTTGAGTCTGTAGCCTGTAGCCTTCCGTGAATGTTTCTGTAGATGTAGGTGCATTCCAAGCAGGAAACAGTGGCTCCACAAATCTATCTTTAAATGTATTATTGCTTTATTTTCCTTGAGCTCAAAAGTATATCTTCTATTAGGTGAAACAGGAGTAAATTCTTAGTGCCTGCCACCTTGAGTTCATGGGTTACAGTGATGGTTAGAGCATGATTGATTGTCCTCAACAATGACTCTTAAAAAAAATTATCTACTTTTCAGAGAAATATTGAGAATCTGCTGTGTGCACAGCACTGACTGACTTAGCTATGCTCTATGTTGTAAATTCTGTTGTCTTATACCAGTGGCTCTTGATAGATTAACTTTTTGATACAATAAGAAAATGAGAAGGAATAGATCACAAGTGCTCCTGGACATGGAAGGCAGAGCAGTTCCCTTGGGTTCACAACCCCCTCTTTGGTTCATCAGCAAAGTCTAGGTTTTATACAGACCACTTGTGTGAAGTAAAATAGAATTTTTTTCTCCTTACTGTTAATGGATGGTATCTCAGTGATAAATGTTTAATAGCTTTATTGAGAAATAATTGACATACAGTGAGCCTCTGAGCCTCATATATTTAAATTGCGTACTTTGATACGTTTTGACATGTTTACACCCATGAAATCATTGAAATCAAGATAATCCTTCCCTCCCACTTTTCTCTAGTCTTCCACTGATCTGTCACTATAGATTAGTTTGCATTTCTAGAGTTGTATGTAAATGGAATAATACAGTATGGACTCTTGTTTTTGGTCTGGCTTCTTTCAGGAGAATTACTCATGAAATCATTGAAATCAAGGTAATCCTTCCCTCCCACTTTTCTCTAGTCTTCCATTGATCTACTTTCTGTCACTGTAGATTAGTTTGCATTTCTAGAGTTGTATGTAAATGGAATAATACAGTATGGACTCGTTTTTCGTCTGGCTTCTTTCACTCAGGAGAATTACTTCAGCATTCATTCATGTTTGCATGTATCAGTAGCTCATTCCTTTTTATTACTGCTGGGTGGTATTCCACTCTATGGATATATACATATACATATACCAGAGTTTTTTCATTCACAGTCTGTTGGTGGATGTTTAGGTTGTTTCTGATTTTTGGCTTTTCTAAATAAGCTGCTAAGATCATTCCTTATGCCAGCGATAATTTAAATTTAGTTTCTTTATCAGTTTTTCCCTATCTGCAAAGTGCGTTTAATAGGATTAATTTCGCTTTTCCTCCTGTATTGTATCAACACTAGGTAAATTAAGAGGAAAAGGAACAGACTATTTTTGGGTGGACTAGAGTTTCTCTTGGTTATTACTATTGGATACCAAGTATGTAGCATCTTTGTATCTCTGTTTTTAAAAGCAAATATGGCGTAGACAGCAGTTTTCAGGATTTATAAAAGCAGTCCTAGGAAAAGCTTTCAAATGAGTGTCATTATTTGGGTTGTGTTCTATGCCAGCAAAGCTGCAAGCTTCCTGGGAACCTTGGAAACTACTTGGGAGGGATCCTGACAGATCCTCAAGAAGAGACAAGAGGGTCAGAAAACCTGAGAGTGAACAAATTTGTTGTTTCTGCTTTAACTCTGAAAGTATTTGACTCTGGAGACCCTCTTCTCCCAAGTTCATGTTAATTTTTAAAGTATAGCAATGGAGTGATTATCTAAATTTCTGGCTTCGTTCCTTATCATTTATAACCTTTTCCATAGTAATTCAAAGCAGAGGAGGATCATCCCTTTTTGTTCTGCTTTTCTTTCCTTCCCCAAACCTTCTGGGAATTCCATCCAGACACTGCGTATGCTTTTCCTCCTCTCTTCTTTCAGGCTGTGGACCAGCTGGAGGATGGCCTCCAGGACAAGAGGGAGAAAGAGAGGCCTCTTTATAGACCCTAGGAGCCACCCAGCCACCTTCATCTCCAGGTTCCTAACTTGGCATCTGTCTTCTTTCTTTCCAGTAATGACCAGATTTAGAACTTCTGCAGGTTGGGCTCACCCCAGTGTGCCCAGAATATTTCTTTCGGTGTGGGAGTGAAATATTCTTGTTCATTTAGAGTCTAAAGAGGCACACTTAGTATTTATTTAAAGAATAATTTTCTAAAACATTTACTGAAATGCCATGGGGCCACCAGCGGGAGGTCCAGTTCTGCTGATTCTGCTGGCGGAACAGCAGTCAGTCAGTTGACCTAGTAATGAGCCTCAGAACTGGTGCTCAAGGGTAGTGCCGACGTTGTCCCTGTCAGGGAAGCGTGGCAATCCCATTTGGTCTTGGTCATTGCAAATCTGATGATAGGCTTATGTGCAGAATCTGTTTGTTAAGGTCCCCAAGGTTTTAAGGGTGCTTTGATTCTCTGTTCCTGTCTCTGGAATCTGTAGAGATAAGAGCTTCCTGTCTGAGTGACAAATGATTTCACCAGAAGAATGGCAGCTAACCTTAACCTTTGGCTTTTATTTTTCTGGATTTTGTTAATTTTTGGAAAATGGTACAGTATGTATTCAGAATTGGGGTGATGATTATTAGGAGGTGGAGGTGAATTATCAGAAAGTTGGACAAATACTACATGTAGGTGTTAGGGCTGTTTCAGATCTCTGGCAGCAGTACGGCACCCACAAGTGGAAGGTTTTGCACTTAAGTTGTCTTTGTAACAAATTAACAGGAGGCAGAGGCAGAGATGGAGAAGAGGGACTGGAATTATTGGGAAGTTGAATTGACCCAGCCATTGATTGTGTCCTGAGTGAGAGGAGTCTAGGATGACTGTTAGATTTCTGATGTCAAGTAGAAATGGTGGTAATAGACATCAAAGTAGGAATGTGAGAGGTAGAACAGGTTTGGGTAAAATGTTGAGCCCAGTTTTTATAATGCTGAGTTGACAGATAGATAGAAGGAATACCTTAGGGTTGATGTCTTATGTGAAGGTGAAAATGGATCTGGAGCTTGGAAGGGAGGTTAGTCTGGGAATGTAGGTCTGGCAGGTTCCTCTGGGTGTGCTGGGTAAGACTGTGGACATGGGTGAGCGCCCCCTGGGGAGAACATTTGGAGCAAGAAAAGAACAAAGAGTTCAGGAGAAACCCATGTTGATGGGATACATGGAGAGGAGGAGCCCACAGAGTGGAAAGAGAATTGCCACTGAGGCTGAGGGAGTGTTTCAGACAGGATGGAGTTGCTGGTGCTGAGAAGTGTCAGGGCAGACACGAGCTCAGACTTGGCAGCAGTTGGGAGATCCTGTTAGGCAGCAGTTAGGTACCGTGTTATGGGGGAGGCCAGATGATAGGTGTAGACCCCCTTTGTAAGAAAGGCAGAGAACAGAGCCAGTTGGCATTTTTTGGGAAAGTGGAGCAAATTTTAGGGGTTATTTGGCAGTTGGCCCCTTAGTCTTCACTAAGTTTGTTTACCTACCATCCTCCCTCCTTACAGCACTATGCTACCTAATTCGTCTACCCCATAGGCCTGAGGTTCCCTGTCTAGGGATTGCTAAGTTTTTATGCCTTGTCGAGTCAAACCTTTTTTTAAAAAAGTGTTTTAGAAAGCTTCCTGAAAACTCAGTAAGATGTTTTTCTTTTCTTTTGTTTTCTTTTTTCTTTTCTTTTTTTTTTGACGGAGTCTTGCTCTGTCTCCCAGGCTGGAGTGCGGTGATGCAATCTCGGCTCGCTGCAGCCTCTGCCTCCTAGATTCAAGCAATTCTCCTGCCTCGGCTTGCCGAGAAGGTGGGATTACAGGTGCCTGCCGCCATACGAAGATAATTTTTGTATTTTTACTAGAGGTGGGGTTTCTCTAAGTTGGCCAGGCTGGTCTTGAACTCCTGACCTCAGGTGGTCCACCTACCTTGGCCTTCCATAGTATTGGGATTACAGGCGTGAGCCACCACCCCGGCCTGTTATTTTTTCAATTTGTATTTAGCAGCATGAGACTTTGAACCTCTTCAGTGCAGGCTTATGGGTGAAGACTACACCTGCATGGTATTCTTAAAAGTCCTTTCTCCTTTTGGGTGCGGTCCTTGATATAGCATCCCTGCACAGAATGAGCACATTAGGTCTGCTTATGAGAAATGAGAGTTAAATAACTGATGAAAGTGGAAGAGCTCTGTGAGAGCCAAGAGGGCATCACAGGTGGTCTCATGGTGCAGTGCTGAGGTGAGCCTGGGATGAGTTTGGGTAAGAAAACCCCTAAGAACACTCAGTAACTCCTGCAGTTTCTAATGGTTCTTATTTGGATGTTTGTTTCTTTAGGCCTGTCAACTACTTGGTCCCAGAATTCCCGATCCCAGCATAGGAGAAGTTCCTGCTCCAGACATGAAGATCGCAAGCCTTCGGAGGTACTTCTTGACTGCTTGCCTGACCGTGCATGAATATATGTTGCCCCATATACCTAGTTGAGTGGTGTCTATTTGTGCAGTCCTGGGCAAAATATTCAAATCCTTGTGCCTCAGTTTCCAAATCTGTAAGATGGGGAGAACACAAGTGTCTACCTCATAGGATTGTTGTGAGGATTAAGTGGGTTAATACACATAGGCTAATACATGCAAAGCATGTGAATAGTTGCTGACACATAAAAAGTGCTCAGTAAGTGTTATTATTATTCATTACATTTTTTTTTTTTCCTTTCCTGTTGTATCATCTCTGGCTCCCAATAACTTTTCCTCTGGCCAGGAGATCAGCGGGTTCAGCTGCTGCTAAGTCACTGCCAGCCTCAAGTTAGTTTTAGCCATGAATTTGTGGCTTATTTGGCAACAACCCAATGTAACTGTGGGAGTTTTGTTTTAGGGATTATGCTGAAGGTTTTCCCCCTTCTTTCTCAATTTCTTTCTCATCTTATGTTTCCTCTGCTCCCAAACTTTTGTTATCTGTGTATCTAAAGTTGCTTTTAGGTGCATTTCTTTCTGCTGGTATTTGTTTAGGGGCCCTTATAAGGCCTGAGGTCTGTTTATTCTAAAGACCTTTGACAGGCTTTAAATCATTGAAGAAAAAGCATTTTATTTTATCACAGTTTTCAAGTGAGAAGATTATAGGAAGAGTTTCTTTGGTTGAATGCTTTGCTTTGTGCTGCTTCTCATGGGATGAGTTCACAGACAGCCTTATCCTGTAATGGCAGTGCAGAGGCAGTTATTCCACAGAGGCAGATACTCCTCAGAGGAACTTTCCAGGCTCTAATAGGGAACGTCAGAAGGCTGCCCTGTTGTGGAGTGGAGAAGTTATTTGGTTGTGGAACAACTTCCTCCATGAGGAAGTAGTTTACATCCTTTAGAATTGTGGAAAACCATCCCAGGAGGCACTTTAGCATGAGATCAGATGTGCTTGGGAAGGTAGCTACTTCCTCCCCTTACTTTATTTCAGGCCTTTTTTCCTTTGAACCTTTAATGCTCTCTTCCTTTTCTGCCCAGGAGCGTCTCTGCTGCTCTTTATTTCTTAATTCCTTGTGCTGTGTCCATAACCCCCAAAATACCTTTCTGATGTTCACACTAAACTCCTGTTACTTCAGCACAGGAATACAAGGGGGACTGAGGAGCTGTGACCTGGTGTGACGGAGGCTGGTGCCCAGTGGTGGAGTTCGAAACCTGCTTCTGGCACTGACACCAAGCATTGAGGAGGGGGCCCAGCAGCACAGGTCGCTGTGCTGGCTTTGTCCCAGCCCCACATTTTGGTCCAGATGTTTTTCTCAACCCTGAGTCCAAACTATATGTAAGGCACTAACATACTCTACTAGAGACTCCAGAGTTGATGTCCATTTGAGGGTGTTTGTTTCAGTTCTTGACCGAGTCTTTGAGCAAAGGAATAGCAGGCTGCCTTTTTTCATTTCACTGTTTCAGTTTGATTTTTCTTTCTTTTTTGGCAAACTCCTTTGTTTTCCATTTATACCACTTTGTTGGAATATGTTTTTACCTGATCGGCTTCTTGAAGATACAGGCCCATCTCTTAGGTTTTAAAGTACTTTTCTCTTGAGGGCCAGGGAGTTGGTGTCCACTGGGCTGGGCACCTGCTTCAGCGGCTCTGTGCTTGAAGGGAAGGATCCTGGTATTACATGTGATTTTTGTGGGAGGTGCATGGCCTAGTTCTTGCTTGTTAATAGGTCTTTAGAAATGAGGAGTGGCATACTGGGGAATAGTCCGTATTGAAAATGGCAGGCAGGAGAAATGGCCTCTTTATTCAGACACTGCCTCAGAATTTATTATGGTGAAGTTTATTAAAGTGATCACCAGCCTGAAAAGCCACCAGAAAAAACAAATACGGACCTATTAGCAGGCGTATGTGTGAACTGTGTTTAGTAGCACAAGAAAGAACTCCCTGTCCTGAGAAAAGAGAGTTCAGCATTGTGACTTGTGTAAACAGACAGGACAGCTTACAGATGCAAGCTTGCTCGATGCCAAACACAACTTTAGGCTGGTCCTGATGCCAAGGTCAGAGCTTTCTTATGCAGCCTTAGACACCAGTGGGCCAAGGACGAGGCTTGAGAGGGAGCCAGCTGTGCAGCCCTGGCTGGGAGGCAGTGTTGCGCTCCACCCCAGGGGCAGGCCTCATTGACCAAGGATGAATGCCAGGGGTCCAGGAGTCTGCAGTGGCATAGGCACTGGGAGGGCTGCCTTTCCTGCGGTTGCCTTCATTTGGCCTGTGGTAAGGAATTGGGGAGCTCTCTTTGTAGAGGGGCACTGTTGGGTCTGCCTGTTTTTGGCAGAGTGGGAAGAGGGTAGTGACTTTCTCTATTTCCTTTCCCCACAAATAACTCTTCCCAGGTAGAATTTATGCCAGGTGAAGGTGTGCAAACATGTTCTTTGCAGGCCCATCAACCAAGTGGCCTGTGGTTGCTTCGCTTCCAGATTTTTCTAGGCCAGCCCGGACCTTGACCTCACCAGCTGCCATACCATAAACCCTGGTGCCCTGGGAGGCAGGGCCTGGGTGGGGGCAGTCTCATTATAGAAGATGAGTCCCTGGCCAGGAGCATGGCTCATGCTCGTAATCCCAGCACACTGGAAGGCCGAGGCAGGTGGATCACTTGAGGTCAGGAGTTTGAGACCAGCCTGGCCAACATGATGAAACCCTGTTTCTACTAAAAACACAAAAATTAGCTGGGCATGGTGGCACGCACCTGTAATCTCAGCTACTCAGGAGGCTGAGGCAGGAGAATAACTTGAACCCGGGAGACAGAGGTTGCAGTGAGCCAAGATTGTGTCACTGAACTCCAGCCTGGGGGACAGACAAGATTCCATCTCAAAAAAAAACCAAAAAACAAAAAAACAAAGCACAGGAGATGAGTCCCTGGCGATTCTGGGTTTTGGCTTGAAGAAGTTGTTACATGGTTAGTGGAGTTATATTTCTTTTTTTTTTTTTTTTTTTTTTTTTTTAAGACGGAGTCTCGCGCTGTGTCACCCAGGCTGGAGTGCAGTGGCGCGATCTCGGCTCACTGCAAGCTCCGCCTCCCAGGTTCACGCCATTCTCCTGCCTCAGCCTCCGAGTAGCTGGGACTACAGGCGCCCGCCACCACGCCCGGCTAGTTTTTTTGTATTTTTAGTAGAGACGGGGTTTCACCGTGTTAGCCAGGATGGTCTCGATCTCCTGACCTCGTGATCCGCCCGTCTCGGCCTCCCAAAGTGCTGGGATTACAGGCTTGAGCCACCGCGCCCGGCCTAGTGCAGTTGTATTTCTAGAGCACCCTTGAGTGCAGTATCTCCCTTCAGAGATTTCCAGGTACATGTTTTCAGCAGCCCTTTTGGTGAACTGAGAGACATTTTTCAGAGATTTTTTTGTTGAAGTTGTTGTGGACCCTATGGACTGAGGCAGTGAGAGGACAGGGTTCCCTCAGCACTGCCACCCCCCATGCCTGAGTGAGGTAAAAGGCGTGTCAGGCAAAGGTTTTCTGTAATAGGTCAGGCTTGTTCTATGTTGATACAGTGACCTTGTTACATGGCAGCTCCATGGTTACATTGCAGCTGCCAGCACTCTGAATAAGAATGCAAATATCAAATGTCAGTGTCCCTTTCTCTTCCTTTCCAGGTGTTTAGGACAGACCTGATCACTGCCATGAAGTTGCATGACTCCTACCAGCTGAATCCGGATGAGTACTATGTGTTGGCAGATCCCTGGAGACAGGAATGGGAAAAAGGGGTCCAGGTGCCCGTGAGCCCGGGGACCATCCCTCAGCCTGTGGCCAGGTAGAGATGCCCTGAGGGCAGGCGCCTCTCCACCCACCCTCACTCTTCTTCCCTGACAGCAGGCATCTGAGAGGAGACAATTTCTGAGTTAGCAATAAAATATCATGAGGCCTCAAGTGGAAATAGAAATGTAGGAGCAGCACACTTCAGGCATACAGGGTAGTGGTTTTGAGGGCCATGAGCCTCCATACTTAACATTACAGCCACCACTGTGGGGAGGTGCTGCTGTCTTATGAGAGGAAGGCAGATTCCAAGACATCCTGGGAAGTGATGGGCTGGGGGAAGAAAATTTGGGTGTTCACACGTCTTCATCCTCTTTTCCTGCCCTCCATGTTCACTCTGGAGAGTGACTCTCCTGGAGAGAAGTGTGTAGTTGCCTCCGCCTTTGGAGGAGGACAGGTGTGAGGAGACCAGACCTGCCAGTTAGGGTTTGTGGAGAGGGGAGTTTTGGAGGGATTTATTTTGACTGGTCACATTGTTCTCAGGGTGCGTTCTCTGAATTTACTGACTTTAAAGATCCCTCAGGGCTGAGTCCCTGCCGACTCTCCTCACAATCAGGTTGCAGCTGTTTACTCATTTCCTCACTGCCCTGCTTCGTGCCACCTGGAGAGTCCTCTTAGGAGGGAGGATTGAGTGCCCTCTGTGCTCAGCTGGCACCTGGCTTCTCGGCCATCATCAGTTGGCTGCTGCTTTGCGAAACAGTGTCTTTCTCCACGCTGAGTCATGACTGAACTTGCTTCCTGGCCGTCACCCACTTTGTGTCTCTTGTTTTGGGCACTTAACGTGATCAAATTTGAGTTGTCATTTTGGGATCTCTGGGGCGTCTATCCAGTGGTGACATATGCCCCTGTCTTACTCAGGCTTAGGTGACCAATCAGAAGTGCCAGGATGGCCCCCACAGGCTAGAATCGGGACCTGTGGAATGGAGCGGTCACGGGGCTCTGCGGGGCAGACCAGGTATCTGCCTCAGAGCCTGTGTCTGAGATGTAGCACCACCTGATTCAGCACTGGCAGCCCCAGCCTAGGAGTCACTTGCTGAATGCTTCACTTTCAGTGGGGAGCCAGGACAGAAGTGAGCATTAATACAGCTTGTGGAAGTTTTCAGTTGGATCCCTGCTCTTGGTTGAGTAGGAGAAATAAATCCCTTCAGTTTGTCCATCTCAGCGTCATGTAGATAAAATCACTCCCATAATATAAGGGTGATGAAGGTACTCTGACAGACTCTGGGCAGCCTGTTGACAGTAATTTAAACTGCAGAAATGCAGATGTGGAAGGACTTTGTTGAGGCCTGGGGCCTGTGATTAGGAAGATGGCCTTTTCTGGTCCAAGTCGGGAGTGATTTGCTCTTCTTGCCCATGCTGTGTTATTTTGAGTGGGGTGAGTTGGAAAGCACCACTCCAGGTTGTTAAAGGTTGGGAGAGAGTGTGTGGCAGTATCAGGAGGAGAGAAAACTTGTGCTTCTGTTTCTGGGATCATAGGTATATGTTGGGAGAGTCAGTCTGCCTCTTGGCTGGGACTCTTGATTCTTAGATTTGTTGATAATGGCCGAGGTCTAATTCCTTTTTTTTTTGTTTGTTTTTGAGACAGTCTCACTCTGTTGCCCAGGCTGGAGTGCAATGTTGCAATCTTGGCTCACTGCAACCTCTGCCTCCTGGGTTCGAGCGATTCTCCTGCCCCAGCCTCCCAAGTAGCTGGGATTACAGGCGTGCGCCACCATACCAGGCTAATTTCTGTATTTTTAGTAGAGATGGGGTTTCACTGTGTTGGCCAGGCTGGTCTGAAACTCCTGACCTCAAATGATCCACCTCCCTCAGCCTCCCGAAGTGCTGAGATTACAGGCTTGGGCCACCGTGCCCAGCCCAAGGCCTAATTTTCTTTTCCCTCTCTCCAGCTTTTTTTTGTGAGGTGTCAGCGTTGGCGGGTATCTCCCTCTGGTTCTCAGAGTCTGCTGTGCCTGCCCTGCCTGTGTGGTGCCCTGGTTCTAATGGCCTCCAGCAGGGATGGGCAGGTCTGGTTAAGGGAAAGTGATTAACTCTTGAAATGTAAGGGTCAGTGTGTTTTGGTGTTGGCTGCAGGCCAGAGTGGTCAGAGGTGGTGGGCAGGGCACAGCAGTGTCCTGGGAAGCAGATTTGAAGGCTTCTACAGTGTTTTCATTCATATCTATTTCCTGTTCACAGGCTTTAACAACTTCTAGTTAAGGTTTTATTAGCAGTGACATTCAGGTTTTCAGCCTCTAGTGATGACCTGCGGCTCTGAGGGTTGGAAGAGGAAGCGACACCTGGGGCCCTGTGGCACACTTCATTGTCTGTGACTGAAAGGGTAACCTAGCTGCCTTGTTTTTTGTTATGCAGGGTTGTGTCTGAAGAGAAATCCCTCATGTTCATCAGGCCCAAGAAGTACATCGTGTCATCAGGCTCAGAGCCTCCCGAGTTGGGCTATGTGGACATCCGGACGCTGGCTGACAGTGTGTGTCGCTATGACCTCAATGACATGGATGCTGCATGGCTGGAACTGACCAATGAAGAATTTAAGGAGATGGGTGAGAGACCATGTATTATATTATTTTATTAACCAATGATGAATAGAAACGTATTTTAGGCAGGTAGGTGAGTAGCAAAAAGCTCCTTATTGCCAGTTGAAGGCAGCTCCATCATAGCTTCAGTTAGTCAGAATCACAGCCCTGCCTTAGAGCTCAGCCTGTTTGGTTGTGTCAGATGTGCTGAGATGGATTCAGAGTGGAAGCAGGGCTCCTCGGCTTAGGCACCAGGGATTCCCATGTCCGCTGTGATCTAACTCCCTCATTCACTTACCTTAAGGAAGCTGAAGTCCAGGACTAAGTGACAAAAGGGCATGCTCCAGTTACTTGCTCTAGTGTTTTTTTTTTTCTGTCACACCATTCAGATTCCTTCTTCAGCTGTGGATTGCTGCTTCTCTAAATGAACACTTTTCCAGGCATGCTCCCCATTTCCAAGCACATCACATGTGTTTTAACTTGAGTGATTTTCCTTATGTCATGCTGCAAACCGGGAGTTCTTTTTCCCTCCTGTTTGTCTCTGTCCTGGCTTTCCTTCAGTGAAGCCTCACATTAGCTGAGTGCCCAGCCCTTCTCAGCTTCTTTTCTGCAAGCTCATTTTAGTGTATGTAGAGGTTGGAGCTTCTGCATGTCATGTACTTGCATCTCACGGTGTTGAGACTGGGATGGTGCGTAGGTCTCATTTCACATGCCAGTCCTGATTGCTAAGGGTTGCCTTGAGCGTCTTGATGAACAAGACAATGGAGTCAAGTCTGGGCTCAGTGTGAAAAACTATGAGGATTAATTAGCTTTTGTACTGTAGGTACATGGTGGGGAAGTGGTGGCAAGGGCTGTGTATTGTAATCTAGGACATAGTAAATAATCACAAGATCAGCTGGGCGCATTGGCTCATGCCTGTAATCCCAGCACTTTGGGAGGCCGAGGTGGGCAGATCACCTGAGGTCAGGAGTTCAAGACCAGCCTGGCAAACATGGTGAAACCCTGTCTCTACTAAAAATACAAGAATTAGGGGTGGTGGGGGCCCAGCCCATTCAGGCTGAGCTAAGCAGAATCACTGAGTCCGGGAGGCGGAGGGCGCATTGAGGCTGAGATCGTGCCACTGCACTACCAGGCCTGGGGCAACAGAGCCAACTCCCCTCAAAAAAAAAAAAAAAAAAATTCACAAAGATCTTTGGTCGCGTGGAAATCCAGCCTTGAAAGGCCAAGACTTTTCTTTGTGTTTCCCAGGGAACTTCAGCCATACGAGTGGTGGCTTGCAGAAGATGCTGTCTGCCATTCAGCTCGACCATCCCTGTTTGCAATGGAGTGGACATGTAGTAACTGAGCTGGAGCATTTGATATTTTCTACTTACTCAGTTACCAGCGTGTTTTTTTTTGAAGAGTCTCACTCGTCGCCTAGCTGGAGTGCCGTGGGCCGGATCTCAGGCTTAAACGGCAAGCTCCGCCCTGGTTTATGCCATTCTCCTGCCTCAGGCCCTCTAGAGTAGCTGGGATACAGGCGGCCGCCACCTCTCCTGTAGGTCTTTGGTATTTAGTAGAGGCCGGGTTCCACCCGTAGTTAGCCAGATGTCTCGATCTCCTGACCTCGTGATCCACCCGTCTCAGCCTCCCAAATTGCTGGGATTACAGGCTTGAGCCACCGTGCCCGGCCTACTCAGGTGTTTTTATAGACAAAATAGATTTCCTTCTTCTTGGTCCTGCTTTAGGTATTAATGGCCAAAACATTAGCAGGCCACAAGGTGATTTTATGGCATGTGTTCAGGAGTTCTCAGAGATCTTTTGGAACTGGATACTAAATTTTAGCTTCAAAGATACACAGTTTCTGCTTTGTTGTAAGCACATTATAAAGACCAGTGTAATGCACTTGACTGCAATCTAGGTGTCCTGTGTGAAGTCAGAGGACTCAGCCCAAAGACTCTTGGCATTTATGAATGGTTTAAATAATAAGAACTGGGCTAATCCATATTTGAAGATACTGTTGAATACATTGGCAGGATTAATTTTGTAATTTTTTTGTTTTTTTTTTTTTGAGACAGAGTCTTACTCTGTCGCCCAGGCTGGAGTGCAGTGGCGTGATCTCAGCTCACTGGAAGCTCCGCCTCCCAGGTTCACAACATTCTCCTGCCTCAGCCTCCCGAGTAGCTGGGACTACAGGTGCCCGCCACCACGCCTGGCTAATTTATTTTTGTATTTTTAGTAGAGAAGGGGTTTCACCGTGTTAGCCAGGATGGTCTCGAACTCCTGACTTCGTGATCTGCCCGCCTCAGCCTCCCAAAGTGCTGGGATTACAGGGGTGACCCACCGCACCTGGCCTAATTTTGTAATTTTATAACATAAATGGAACACATGCTTAAAGATGTTTGTCTTAGCTGTTACTGACCTTTTTTTTTCTTTGTTTCTTGAGATGAAATCTCACTCTGTGGCCCAGGCTGGAGTGCAGGGGTGCAATCTTGGCTCACTGCAACCTCCACCTCCTGAATTCAAGTGATTCTCCTGCCCCGGCCTCCCAAGTAGCTGGGATTATTGGCACCTACCACCATGCCTGGCTAATTTTTGTATTTTTAGTAGAGAGGATTTCACCCTATTGGCCAGGCTGGTCTTGAACTCCTGACCTCAAATGATCTACCTGCCTCGGCCTCCCAAAGTACTGGGATTATAGATGTGAGCCACTGTACCTGGTGTTTCAGTCTTTTTTTGCATTTGGTTAACTATGTTTTTCAACTTTGTAGAAGTCAGAGTATGAGGAGGGATAAATCATTTAAAAATATTAGAGTGTCCAAAGTGTAATCTGTTTTGAGAGAACTGTTTTACCTACCAAGAAAGGCACATGTTAAAAAACATCCAAACCATATCTGAGGTCATGGTTTTGAAGTCCCTTACGTGTTAGTTGTTATGTCTAATGAGTATAATGAAATGTCGTATTCAACAATGTATGTATTTAATATCCTTGAATCCTTTTAAAATTTACCTTTTGCTTTCCCATTTACTACACTGCATCTTTACTACCTGACCACAAGAACATAACAGTTTCCTGGAAGACTCTCCCCTTTGAAGATTGTTTCTTAGAAGGATCTGATAAGGATTTAATAAAAAATTTTGGGGCCCTCAGGGATGGATGCATCAATGGGTTGATTGATTGATTGAGACAGGGTCTTGTGTCACTCAGGCCAGATCACAGTAGCACAGTCATGGCTCACTATAGCCCCAACCTCCTGGGCTCAAGCAGTTCTTCCACCGCAGGCTGTTGAGTAGTTGGGACTACAGGTGTGTGCCACCACACTTGGCTAATTTTCATATTTTTTGTAGAGATGGGGTTCCACTATGTTGCCCAGGCTGACCTTGAGCTCCTGGGCTCAGGTGTGAGCCACCGCACCTGGCCAGTGATGGATTTATTTATCAGACTATTGTTTATTCATTGTACATTTTTTTTAAGTATAAATAAACCAGAACTATTTTGTAATATTTATTAATACGGATTTATTAAAATGGGTTTGTGGCATTTTTAACTTCAGGAATGCCTGAACTAGATGAATACACCATGGAGAGGGTCCTAGAGGAATTTGAGCAGCGATGCTACGACAATATGAATCATGCCATAGAGACTGAGGAAGGCCTGGGGATCGAATATGACGAAGATGTTGTCTGTGATGTCTGCCAGTCCCCTGATGGTGAGGACGGCAATGAGATGGTGTTCTGTGACAAATGCAACATCTGTGTGCACCAGGTATGTGGGGCAGGGAGGCCAGAACGAAGAAACCTGGGACATGAGCCTGTCTGCTGTGGGAGTGTATGCCTGGAGTCCAGGATTCTTCCTCTGAATGGGGTCTGTTTTTCTACAATTTAAAGAAATGTGCCCTATAGACTTTCTTTTTCCCTGGTAGGTTCTTACAGTGATTGAAATATATCCTCTGCTTTTGCAGCCAGAAGGATAGCACCCTCTGTGGAAATCGTCTTTCTTCACATAGTGTTTTATTCTTATCCATAGAAGTCAAGTTTATTTAAAAAGAATGTATGAGCCCCCTCTGTCCTACTTAACACCTAAGTTTAGGTATTAAGAACACTGAGAAAACAAACCTTTGAAAAGGTGGTTAGTGTGCTGTATTAGTTTCTTACAGCTGCCCTGTGTAACAGAAAAATCACTACAGACTGTGTGTGCTTAAAACAACAAAAATGTATTGTCTTGTGGTTCTGGAGACTAGAAGTCCAGAATTGAGGTGGTGGCAGTGCTGTGCTTCCTCTGAAACATGCAGTTCCTTGCCTCTTCGTAGCTTATGGTGATTTGGGCAGTCTTGGGCATTCCTTGGCTTGCGGCTGCCTTCGTCATCGTGTGTGTTCTCCCTGTGTCTCTGTCTTCACATGGCGGTCTTCTTCTTAATTTTTTGAGATGGAGTTTCTGTCACCCAGGCTGGAGTGCAGTGGTCCTGGCTCAACCTCTGCCTCCCAGGTTCAAGTGATTCTCCTGCCTCAGCCTCCCGAGTAGCTGGGACTGCAGGAGTGTGCCACCACACCCGGCTAATTACTTTTTTGTATTTTTAGTAGAGATGGGGTTCACTGTCTTGGCCAGGCTGGTCTCGATCTCCTGACCTTGTGATCCGCCCGCCTTGGCCTCCCAAAGTGCTGGGATTACAGGTGTGAGCCACCGTGCCCGGCCCACATGGCAGTCTTCTTAGAAGGGCACCAGTCGTATTGGACTAGGGACCCACCCTACTTCACAGTGAGCTCATCTTAAATAATTACATCTGCAATGACTATTTCTAAAGAAGGTCACATTTTTAGATATTTGGAGTTAGGACTTCAGTGTGTCTTTTCAAGGACACACTTTGCCTGTCGTGTTTGTGAACATGTGTTAGAGTATAAGCTGAGCTGTTAAAGGAGAGGAAAGCAGCCCCTTTTCTTGAAGGCGATTTCCTGCCTTAAAAAAGAGGACAGTAGGTTTTGGTGGTTGCTTGCTTAGATTTCAGGAGGATGGGCGTTCGGTAACTTAAAAAGTTTATGACAATCTCAGTGCCTCTTTTCTTTTTTATTTAGTTTTTAATACAGTAATGAAGAAATTTGGATTTGGGCGGGGACATGTGCCCACGTATATTCTTAGGATTTAAAAGGCTATCCTGAAGTACTTTCTTTGAATTCACCTGTTGATGCTGAGATTTAAAGCACACTTAAAAGAAAGACTTGTATGGAATAGGTGCTTGGTGACTTCTTGGGAAGAAGAAGCACGTTTGCTCCATGAAGTTCTTGATTCCCCTTTGCTTCATAATTTGTGACCTCTTAGGCTTTCCCTCTGTCTGAAGACCTCCCCAGCTGTGGCCCAGTCCTGGTTCTTTGACGGGGAGATCTGCGACTCCTGCGACTCCTGCTTCAGTCATCGCCGTCTGTTGCTCTGGATCTCACACTGTCTGGGAAATCTCCTTACAGTAGTGAGAATTCCTGTGGTGGCTTTGTTCTGTGACATGAGCACCCTGGTGACCAGTTGATTTTTGGTTGCTGGTGCTTCTTGTATTTACTTGGCTGACTTCTCAATCTTTTTCTTGTCTTAACTTGCTATTTTTTTTTCCCCATGAAAAATTTTTTTGAAAAAAAGCGTTCTGCTTGAAAACTGGTCAACCCCTGTTTTATCAGTGAGTTAACTGATGTCAGGGCAGGGTTGTGCAAGCTCTCACAGCGGGTGTGTGGCAGAGTTGTAACTTAAGGCTTTTGGATGCCCCCTTCTTCACCTTCTGTTCTTTCTGCCCTATCACCTTGTCTTTTTTCCTCAACATTTACTTCATTTTTCCTTTGAGAAGTCCTTCATGGCTTATCTTTAAGGCATACTTTATGTAATCTTCTAAATTAGCTTAGACCTGCTTTTCCAGTAAAAAAAATTCCTTCCTTCAGTTGTGACTGTAGAATATCTGATACAGACCTTTAGTATTTTGAAACCTTTATAGTGTCACTTAACTCTGTTAAAATTTTTTTTCTAGTAAGTCTGCATTGACAGTAGCTTATTCGTGGCCCTGACACAGTGCTCCGAGGCTTCCATCTGAAGTGTGACTTTTCTTTGCTTAACTCTCATCCTTGTGGTTTCCTCTTTGCATCGTCGTGGGTATTCAGATTGCACAGTGGCTGTGTTTTTTCTGTCTGAAGAATTAGAGCTATGCTACTGTGACTCTCGACTTCCTGACTTCCAGGTCATTTAAGGACAAAGTTCTGAACAGTTGGGGTTTTAAAGGGCTCTCTGAATATGCTCCTGGTACCATCGTGGTTTTTATTTATTCACTTACTTAACATTAACCTTTTTTGTCTTTGAACTGTCCTAATTACTTTAGTTGTAAAAGCCTTGATTTCTGTAGTTTATGCCATCTTGTGTAATTTTGCCATCTTGTACAAAACAGGCTTTGTTTTATTTTTTAATTTAAATTATTTTTTGTCTCCATTTCTGAAAGGCTGAATTTGTTTTAAATATCAGCTAAGGAGACGACATTCTCTCTGTGTAAAAGGTCTTCTTTTTCTGCCCTGTTGTGTCCACTGGGAGAGTACTGGGATCTAGTTGGTGTGGAGTTTGCTTAGCCTAGGGAGTGTGCATGCTTCTCTCCCGTTCCCATTGCCATCTCATTCAGCAGCTTTGGGAGATTCTCTCAACTGCTGTGTGCTTTTTCTCCACACTCTGTATCCCACCTCTGTCAGGAAAGTAGAGGAATAGCTTCTCTCACGGAGCCCTGTGGAGTGTTTCGAGGACTTACTGCTCAATATTTAGAAACTTGGTATGGATGGGTTTCTGCGGCAACACAGCAAAGCGGATTTCACATAAACCTTTCTGTCCTCAAGTAGTTTCCAGGACCACCCTCTGCTAAGTAAATATGTATTGTATCAGCAGAGCTCACATACCTCCTAAATGCTACTGTGAGGCTGCCTGGCATTTTTCCTAAGGGGAGAGGATTCATAGCCAGGAAGCTATGGGAGTGTCTCTACTTTGGTGGTAGTTCTGTTAAAATCTTTCTAAGTGTTTTAAAATGAATAGATATAATGGGAAAAATAATATTTTCTCTTTCTCTCTATTCCTCTGGGGTGTGCTGTGGATCACAGGCCTGTTATGGAATCCTCAAGGTACCAGAGGGAAGCTGGCTGTGCCGGACATGTGCCCTGGGGGTTCAGCCAAAATGTCTGCTGTGTCCGAAGAAGGGTGGAGCTATGAAGCCCACGCGTAGCGGAACCAAGTGGGTCCACGTCAGCTGTGCTCTATGGATCCCTGAGGTAAGTGTGGATCTTTTTTTTGTTGTTTTTACTTTTTTTGAGACAGAGTTTTACTCTGTCATCCAGGCTGGAGTGCGGTGAGCTGGATCATGGCTCAATGCATCCTTGACCTGCTGGGCTCAAGTGATCCTCCCACCTCAGCCTTTTGAGTAGCTAAGATTATAGGCATGTGCTACCAGGCCCAGCTTATTTTTTATTTTTTGTAGTGAAGGGATCTCTCTTTGTTGCCCTGGCTGGTCTCAAACTCCTGGGTTCAAGTGGTCCTCTTTCCTTGGCTTCCCAAACTGTTGGCTCATGCTTGTAATCACTGTGCCTGGTCAAGCATGGTTTTTAATAGCACCTTAGCTCAGAAGATCCTGGCTTTTAACTGGGATTCGGTGGGTGGAGAACCATGCATAAATAGGCAGCGTTGTAGCTGATGAGTAAAAAGACACCTTTTAATTGCTACCTTTTTCCTTGGGGAAAAAACTGAATCTTAAGCACACTGTCATCTTGTCATGGAATGTCAATTTGTGGAAATGTTAGCTGGAAGCAGCAGTCACTTGGGACTGTAAGTTGGTGGTGGGCAAACTTCGCCTCACCCTTCCATCGCAGTGAGCCTTCCCATCGTGACTCTCGCTCCCGGGAGCAGACCTGCAGCACTTAGCCAGCTGTGGCCTGGGCGTGCCATTCCCCAAGGATCAGCTGTATGTCCTGTGTGTGGCAAGCTGTACATGAGGCACCACCATGGTTAAAAAAAAACCACTCTTAGTCATACTTTGGTCATTTTTATTTAAACTCTTACTGTGCCTCAACCTTTTTTTTTTTTGAGATGGAGTCTCACTCTGTCGCCCAGGCTGGAGTGCAGTGGCACGATCTCAGCTCACTGCAAGCTCCACCTCCCGGGTTCACGCCATTCTCCTGCCTCAGCCTCCCGAGTAGCTGGGACTACAGGCGCCCGCCAACACGCCTGGCTAGTTTTTTTGTATTTTTAGTTGATACAGGGTTTCACTGTGGTCTCGATCTCCTGACCTTGTGATCCACCCGCCTCGGCCTCCCAAAGTGCTGGGATTACAGGCATGAGCCACCGTGCCTGGCCAGCCTCAACCTTTTTAATTTCAGGTCTGGTCTAATTTATTTCTGGTCTCAGACCTTGACTAATATAATTTGCAATTCAAATTCCAGCATTTTTTGGGTGTGATTTTGGTACATTTTCCTCCCGGGGAAAATCATTTGAGGATGATTTGGATTGAGGTTTCATGATTCGGGTCTTGGTAGCACTGGGTCTCGTGGTTTGGTATTGATGGGATACAATTTGGTGATCCAGGCTGAATGCAGATTAATACCTTATTTATCTTTGTAATTTCCCATCTTGAACGTAGTCATGTTTCGGACTGAAGAAAATGGTTTTCTTTGGCGAGAGATTAAAAACAGGTTATATTTACTTACCCTGTTGTTGACAACCTGTTTGAATGTATTTAAGATGGATTTTTAGTCTTGACCGATTTCTCATGGGCTAGAGATTATAGACGGCATTGTCCTGGTACATGAGTGTTTGTCATCAGACGCTCTGGTGAGAAGTGAAAACTCAGTTATCTAAGTGTTTTTCACACACAGGGATGTCTGTCAGATGGGGACTGGGCTCTGGGCTCAGTTGGCACTGGGGCTGTTCTGAGGCTTTTAAAGTAAGGGTTTGCTTTGTTCCAGGTGAGTGAGTGCCCCTTGCCACTGTCTGGTAGGAGAGATGTAGGAAAGTAATGGATCTTTTAGTTTGTGACATTCATGTTCAGCCTTTGATGACCTGTGCCACCCTGTCTTGCTATTTTCGGACCTTTAGGTGAGCATTGGCAGCCCAGAGAAGATGGAGCCCATCACCAAGGTGTCACATATTCCCAGCAGTCGGTGGGCGCTAGTGTGCAGCCTCTGCAATGAGAAGTTTGGGGCCTCTATACAGGTAATCAGCTTCCTAAGAATGGCTTCATTTTCCTTTCCTGTGTGGTGGGGAGCAAGTGAGGGAAGGCTCTGTGAAGGGTTTGGAGAGGGGACTAGAATCCAGGAAGCAGGTCGAGGCTCCCAAGGGGTGACTCCATCCCCAGTTCGCACACCTTTAATTGTATCCGGTGTAACCAGAACCCAAGCTTTCACAGTCACGGGGTAGTTCAGAAGTTCCCCTGAACTGTGAGGCGGTTCTTGTCTCTCGCTACCCTCTTTCTGCCCAAAGTCTAACATCGCAGCTTCTTTCAATAGGCCAACACCTCCTAGGAGTCTTAGTGAGAAGTTCCTTGACATGACAGTTGAGAGTTGGCCACCCTCCCACCTGCAGTCACTGAGTGTAGCTGTAGACCCTGGCCCAGCTCTGTGGTGGCCTCCTGAGATTGCAGGTTTCCGTGGTGTGTGCACAACTGTTAGTAATCAAGGGGACATGCTGATGCATTTGCATTTGGAAAAACAAAGACTCTTTGAACACAGCCTGGGTAGATGGGCATCTGTGAGGAGCTCCTGTGTACGCTGTCAGCTGATTGGAACATCATCTGGATGTCTGGTTCTTTATGGCACTTCGTGTGCGTGCATGCGTGTGTGTGTGTGTGTGAGAGAGAGAGAGCCTGAGCGAGAGAGTGCATGCACACCTGTGTGTAAACATGTTGCCTGTCTGCTTTTGCATATCCAGGTACAGACAAGCATAGGATGTTTCGAGATAGGGGAATTAAGGAGGGAATATAGATGGCATACTGTTTTTCACATGGTCTAAGACCCTACCTGAGGAGTTCATTTTTAGGTGTCACATTATTGACATCTTGCCAGTCAGGATTAGAGAGACCTGCAGTGCTGTGTGTGGCTGATGGGGGCCCTTCAGGCTAAGTTTGGATCTTTTGGGATGTACCAGCACAGGTCCCAGGCTCTTCTTCCTTGGTTTCCTCATTGAATTCTGGGAGCAGAGGCACTGTTTTGGGATGGCTTCTTTCTCAATGCAGAAAACACAGCAGCTCAGCACAGGCATAAGCTCCAAGAGCATGGTCATACTGTCAGCCATGGGTTTTAAAGAAATGACCTCATTCGGCAAAGTCAGTTTGTATTTTAGCTGATAAATACTTCTTTTGGGAAGGTGGTTTTAAAATTTTTTCTTTTTTCTTTTTTTGAGACAGAGTCTCACTCTGTCGCCCCGGCTGGAGTGCAGTGGCATGATCTTGGCTCACTGTAGCCTCTGCCTCCCGGGTTTAAGCAATTCTCCTGCCTCAGCCTCCTGAGTAGCTGAGGCGCACACCAGCATGCCCGACCAATTCTCATTTTGTATTTTTGTATCTCATTTTGTATAAGTAGAGATGGGGTTTCACCATGTTGGCCAGGCTGGTCTCGAACTCCTGACCTCATGATCCACCCACCTTGGCCTCCCAAAGTGCTGGAATTACAGGCTTGAGCCACCGTGCCTGGCTATTTTTTAATATTCTTAACAAGCCAAGTGCTTCTACTTTTCTTCTTTATCACTTCGACTGGTATTCAAGAATCCAAAATATAACAGAAATATTTGGAGGGTGGGTCATGAGACAGCTGGTAGGATTTGGCTGGGGACCTTGAAATAGTGGAGATATTTTTGGCATGTGAATACATGACAAATGCCTCTGACCCGAGTTGGATTGGGGAAGGAGGAGGGAAGAGTGGAGCAGGAAGAGAAAAGGGCAGGGAGCTGATGTACTTAAGTTTGTGTGTGTATGTGTGTGTGAGTGTGTGTGTGAATATGCGTGTGTATGTGTGATTATGCGTATGTGTGTGAGCATGCAAATGTGAGTGCGTGTGGGGGTGTGAGTATGCGTGTGATTATGCATGTGTATGTGTGTATGCATGTGTATTTGGTTATGCATGTGTATGCTGTGAGTATGCATTAATGTGTATTTGAGTATGCGTGTGAATGTATGTGTGTGAATATGCATGTGTGAGTATGCGTATGTGTGAGTGCATATGTGTGTATGCAAGTGCGTGTATATGTGAGTATGCATGTGAGTATGCTTGTGTGAGTATGCATGTGTGTATGCATGTATGTGTGCATAAAAATGCGTGAGTATGCGTGTGTATATGTGTATGCATGTGTGTATGTGTATGCATGTGTATGTGTGTGAGTATGCATGTGTAAGTATGCGTATGCACGTGTGCACTGGCAGGAAACAGGCTGCAGCAGACCACGTTCCCTGGTGTTCTGAGCGTAGGATTTATGCCCTTTCCTGAGTATGCCAATCCTGGTCCATAATTAATGTTTAAAAGAGGTGAGCGAGTGGGATCTTTGTTTCCCTTTTGAAGACAGATGATATAATGGCTTTTTTGTTGCCATTGACCTCTTTTTCCCAGAACATTAATCTAAAGAAGAGGCCAAAGAAGGCTGATGATTTTTCATATCTTCACAGAATGGATTGATTTTATTAAAAGAATTCCTCTCTGAAATGTCTGCAGCTGTGAAGGCTCTGGTTTACGTTTCTGAAACATCTGTTTGCTGAGTCAACCTGAATGGGAAAACCCAGAGGAAGGCCATTTGGCGTTTTTACAAAGTCCTGTATAAATATTCTGCTGCAGTTCATTTCTCTTTAGGGTTAGAGCGCTTGGATTAAGTGTAGTTTAAGCCAAACACAGATAGTGTCTCAGTCATCTGTTCCCACTTTTGCTTCCCACTTGGCTGTGTGCTACAAGGGAAGACACTTTGTCTTCTCATGACAGTGGCCAGGTGTGTGTGTGTGTGTGTGTGTGTGTGCGCGCGCGCGCGCGCGTGCGTGTGTGTTCTGCCACCAAAGCTGATTTCACACATTTCTTAGAATTGAGGTTATTTATAGAGAAAACACAGATTTATGTCAGTCTGTGTGGTTGAGGTGTTTGTAAGGGTGGAATGGTGAAGGGAGCTGGATTTTCTCCTCTTCTCAGTAAAAAAGACCTCATAGTAATGGAAGAAAGCCTGGCTGGCAGCGAGTTTCCTCTTAAATACTGAAATGATTAGGGGGAAATCCTTAGCTCTAGCCTCTGCCATCCTTGGTGATGTGATTCAGGATCTGTTGAATGAGTTGAATTCAACTTCTCAGTTGGCTTGAAGCCACTGAATTCTACAGCTCTGTGCAGCCCCTGGCATGCCCTGGGGATCACTTGGCCTCACACAATGCAGTGCTGCTTTTCAGGGACTGGCTTCAGTCACCATGAGGAACCACCTTCTAGGGATTTGCTCAGCGAGATCAGTGGAGGAGGAGTGAATCACTTTGCTCCTGCTACACCAGAGACTTGCTCTCTGGATCAAAGGCACTAAATTGTGGCCCTGTTAGGCAGTGAGGGGGAGGTGTTCTGCTGTATAGGTTGCTGACAGCTGGCCTCTAGGTTGACCTCCCTGTGACCCATGGGAAGGGTCTTTCATGGTTCTGCCTCTCTTCAGTGGCCAGGCGCGGCGTGCACAGATCTCAGGGCTCAGAGCCCTCCATGCATCTGGTGAAGCTTCTTCACAAGTGTGAAGACCTTTCCCCACCTTTCCTGTGCTGGATTCCTCGTCTCCTATTCTTCGGGGTTTTTATTCAGTTTCTCCTTGGTGCTGCTTCAAGGAAGTGCACTGTTCATTTTCTCACTTGTGTTGGGACTCTTCCTGGCTAGGGAGTCAGAATGAGGATTTGTGTTCAAACTGTGAGTAGTAGTCATTCTTCCCAAGAAGGTTCTTACTCAAGTTTACACCAAAGAGCTCAAATCCGTAATAAAACGAAAGTGGACTTTGCATATTGAGTACAAATTCTTTTGAATATGATCCTCGTGCCACACCTCCTTCCTCTACACATGTTATTTGTATAATATGTCTGCTTCAAGATGGGATTTGGATGCAGTTACTTTTCTGAGGAAGTTAGGGTTTGGTTGATTAAACCTTTCGTTTGAAGAGGGCCCTTAAATTCCAAGACTTGGCTGGGTGCAGTGGCTCACGCCTGTAATCCCAGCACTTTGGGAGGCTGAGATGGGCGGATCTCTTTTGCCCAAGAGTTGGAGACCAACCTGGGCAACATAGGGAGACCTCATCTCTACAAAAAAATCCCAAGCCTTACCTCTTTTAAAACATGACATGATCTTCCGGGGTTAATCCACGTACAACTTTCCTGTCACAGCACATTCTTGAAGCATGGCTCTTCTCTGTGCGTGTGTACATGGGTGCCTAGCACTGCGGGTCTTCTGCCATGGTTGCTCTGTAATGGTCTATTATCATATTCTTTGTGTGTTCTTACCAGTGCTCTGTGAAGAACTGCCGCACGGCCTTCCATGTGACTTGTGCTTTTGACCGGGGCCTGGAGATGAAGACCATCTTAGCAGAGAATGATGAAGTCAAGTTCAAGTCCTATTGCCCAAAGCACAGCTCACATAGGAAACCTGAGGAGAGTCTTGGCAAGGGGGCTGCACAGGAGAATGGGGCCCCTGAGTGTTCCCCCCGGAATCCGCTGGAGCCCTTTGCCAGCCTTGAGCAGAACCGGGAGGAGGCCCACCGGGTGAGTGTCCGTAAGCAGAAGCTGCAGCAGTTGGAGGATGAGTTCTACACCTTCGTCAACCTGCTGGATGTTGCCAGGGCTCTGCGGCTGCCTGAGGAAGTAGTGGATTTCCTGTACCAGTACTGGAAGTTGAAGAGGAAGGTCAACTTCAACAAGCCCCTGATCACCCCAAAGAAAGACGAAGAGGACAATCTAGCCAAGCGGGAGCAGGATGTCTTGTTTAGGAGGCTGCAGCTGTTCACGCACCTGCGGCAGGACCTGGAGAGGGTAATGATTGACACTGACACCTTATAGTGACTTAGAGAAGAAGATGCAAAGAGGCGAACGCTTGCCCAGAGCAAGAAATGATAGCCAGTCATATACTGTCAGATCCTTGTACACACCACAGCATGAGGTTGTGTTGGTTAAAAATATTTATGGGCTGGTAAACTCATTGTACATATGTGCAAAACTGCCACTGAGTGGGGAGCTTCTTTGTGATTTTTTTTTTTAAACACTTTCCCATTAATCTTTACTGGTTTATAAGATCAAATGGGGTGTGTCTTCCCTACCCTACCCCCATTCCTTCATTCTAGAGCTAGAGTGAATGAGCCCCAAGAAAATGACCCAAGGAGTTGACTCAGGATTGTTTACAGACTGATTTAGAAAACCAGCATGGATTTCATTTCTAAAGGAGGGGCCAGAGAGGGGAGAATTGCTTGTTGAGTCCGAGGAAACACTAGGTGCTGGTGATGGACTTGTGAAGGAAGCTAAGACCGGCTGCTCACTGGCCCCGGCTTTGTTTCTTGGGTAATTCACAGGGGAATTCCCGGTACTGTCACGTAGCAGAGCAGGCAGTGGGTGCTGATGTGTGTGCATGAGCTGTATGTACACATGCATATATCTGTTACAGAAGATACTCCTGGCAGTGAGGTGCTAAGTCATCACTGAGGGTGTGTGTGTCCCCGTGTCCATCCGTGTCTCTGTTGTGTGTCTGTGTGCGGCTATGGGTGGGATTCCTGGTGCACAGCGGTGTCAGATCTGTCTGAGGAGCCCCAGTCATGCTCAGCACGCTACAGGTGTTGTTTGTCACACTGAGATTGCTGAATGTCGTGGCTGTTGGCTGCCGAGCCTCAGCTGCTGGCACTTCCTTCTGCTGTTTGCTGCTTTTGTGCCTCCCCGACTTTCCATCACCTCTGGAGTCCCCTCTGGAAGTCCCTTCCTGCTACAGGAATAATGAGGAGTGGGCTGCCTCCCCCTTGGGCCTCCTACTCTCTGTAGGTAGTTTCTGGCTGAGGCTTGCTAATTGGGGATGCTTCTTAGAGCATCTTCCACATCAACTCCCCTGGCTGCTGGCTACCGATTAAATTCATTAGTGTGAACGAGGTAGGAGCAAGGTTTTCTGGCCTGAAGCAGTCTGCACTGAAAGGTACCCAAGTAGCCTGAAACAGTTAACACATCTCCCCCAAGCCGCTCGCTTATTAGTGGGGAGTGATTCACCTGCCTGGGAGAGACTCTTGACTCATAGATGATTTGAAATGGGAGTGCGGGCAAAGACCCGGGAAGCACTGGACCAAAAAAGCGCGATCTCATGGAGACCTGCGTGGCCCTGTTAGAGATGACGTAGAAGTGAAAGTCTTTTAAAGGGAGCATTAGCGATCCTTTTAGTACACGACTGAGTGCCAGCTTATTTGTGATGCCCCTTCTCAGACCAGGTTAGGATTCCTGGGAAGGCGGGGGGATTCGGGCCCTGGAGGAGGCAGGAGCCTGGAGCAGGTTTGTGAGGCTTTTGTGCTCCCCTACGCCCCCTGGTGGTGAGTGTAAAGAAGACTTTGCCTCTCACAACTACATGTATGTGTGGCATTTTTGTTAGAGATGAGAGAAGGATTGAGAAGGATAAACTGGAATCCTGGTGAGAAGCCTTTATGCCAGCCCGACACCTGCTGTAATTGGGGTGCATGAGCTGTGGAGTCAGATAGTTGTTGGGAGGGGGAGGACAAGAAGTCTATTGTTTGGACTGTGTTTGTCTCACAATCACCACAAAATAAAAGTGTAGAAAATGCTTGTGGTGTACTAACTCTTTTCTGTACTTAAGTTACTCAGATTAACATGCACTTCTAATTCTAAACATTTTTTTTGGAGTCATCACTGTCGCTGTTTAAGTAGAACAATGCCAACAATGTATGAGAAACAGGGAATAAATCAGGATTTGTGTGTGTATGTGTGTGGCATTACTTACATTTACTTTATTAAAAAGCCTAAGGAACTTTAGGGAATTTATATTCAGTTTATTTTTATTTTTTTGAGACAGAGTCTCACTTTGTTGCCCAGGCTGGAGCACAGTGGCGCGATCTCAGCTCACTGCAGCCTCCGCCTCCCGGGTTCAAGTGATTCTCCTGCCTCAGCCTCATGAATAGCTGGGATTACAGGCATGTGTCACTATACCTGGCTAATTTTTGTATTTTTGGTAGAGACCGGGTTTCACCATGTTGGTCAGGTTGGTCTTGAACTCCTGACCTCAAGTGATCCACCCACTGTGGCCTCCCAGAGTGTTGGGATTACAGGCGTGAGCCACTGCACCTAGCCTTAGACTCAGTTTAAAATGGACTTATTGTCATGAAAAAAATACGCTACCCCAAATTTGCCATGATGCCTGTGATGGTGAAGGCATTAAAAAATTGAAATCTTTGCCTTGCCCAGAGAGTTGCACAGTTATTTGTAATTGTAAACAGTAAGTGTATCAGGGCAGGGGTGACAATAAAAAAACAATCATTACTACCAACTTGTTTTCTCAAGTAAGTTAGTTTTCTATTTAATTCACACATTATCAGCTTGTAGCAGATCCTCAAAAATCATTTAATACATGTGACTACAATCAAGGCATATGATCATTCTCAGACTGACAAATGAGTGGCCATCATTAGAAATGCAGACAACTGATTATGGTGACTGCTCTTCCTTCAAACACACACCTCGGGGCATTGCACACCTGGGTACCAGTTCTGGATCTGGAAGTTAGGTGACAGGAGTAGATTTCAGGAGGGCTTGGGAGCACACAACTTTAAGAAGACAAAGTTGTTGATGTGGTAGGTAGCCATGTCATTCCCAAGGCTGCCACTTCACTCTCATTCCTTTCCCTGAAAATATGCAGTAAACGTGAGTTCAGCAAATGACTATTTATTTAGATAAAGACATGCTACCACTGCACTCTGGCTAGCATTATGGAAAGTGGCCAAGTCCTGGGGGCAGTCCTGTAGTCACTCAGTGGAATGGTCACCTTTGAAAATCTGGTAGTGTCTACAGTGTCCCCTGAAAAAAAGGCACGTTGAACTTTAGTGCTGCAAACAGTTTTGGATTCAAGAAAGCACACTGAAACCACTTTTGGATTTCTTAGAGCAGTGGTCCTCGGGGTGTTGTGTCTGACCCGGAAACTTAGGAATGCAAAGTCATGGGCCCCACCTCCAGAGGGTGGTTCTGTTTTGTGGGTACCCCATGTCCCCTGTTTAGGGACACTGCTTTAGGGGAAAGTGATGATCAGGTTTAAGGTGGTGTGAGAGTGCACCTGGAGATGGTTTAAATGGTTTTTTTCAGATACCTCCTTGCAGGCAGTTGGGAGAAGAGAAAGCAGGGTAGGGAGCTTGGTGCAGCAGGTGCAGTGGGTGCAGGAAGGGACAACTTGGATGTGTTTTGAGGATGGGAGAGCATCAGTCCAGCTCTGCAGGTGGAGGTTGCTGAGCGTTGTCCTACCGGGAGCATAAGGGAAGTCAGGTTTAGAGTCCTCACTACTATAAAGTGGAGTTAGGGCTGGTTTGTTCCAATTGAAAACCATGCCCTCTGCTTTTTGGGTTTACATTTAGATATTTCCCATCAGAGATCATGAGGAATAGGAGTGGGATTTTTCTATGTAGCAGCCATGGTTTGGTCAAAGCTACCAAAATTAAATTTGAATAATATACAAAGTTCAAATTCCCTGGCTTCCCCGTTTTCCAGTTTCAAGGATAATTTCAAGTAAGAGAGATGTAAGTGTCTCTGTTACACATCTGATTTGAATATGAGAGCAACCTGTCTGCTCCTAAGATGTCAGAATTTGTTTCCATTTTTTATTTCCAGGAGTGAGATTCCTTGTTAATGTAAAAACGGTTCTGTTTCCTAGAAGTTTTGAATCTGCTATGGATCTAGGTCTGGCCCCTCTTTCTTGAGCTTCACTCTTCATCTCCCCTGGGTAGAACAATATTATCAAAGAGAGTAGTCTGTTAACCACTTCCATTCCCAAGTTGGTGAGAATTTCTAGAAAGGGCACGCTTCTTGGATTGAGGGTGTGCAGCTGTCAGAAAACGAAAGAGACCACCTTACCTAGGCTGATTGACATCCGTGTAATATTTACTATGAGACAGGGAGAGTGTTTTTATTCTCGATTCTTTCATTTTAAAATAATTAAGACAGGAAATGTTAGTGACATAAGGGATTGATACAGAAAAAAAGACGGGAAGATCCTGAAAGTGAATTGGTTAGGGGCAGGAGAAGCCTGACTTGGCATTTTCCTGTTGAGGCCAGGAGATTTTACTGTGATGCAAATGGGAAAGCCTGTGTTCGGTCTCTCTTAATGCTTCCTGTCCTTTTGCAAATGAGACTGCCTTTAGCACAAGTGGAATTGTTAGGGTTTAGTCTACACTTAGACTCTACACCAGAGTGCAAAATCTTTTGTGTCTTCACAAGGCTTGTTGATGCTTGTTGCTGTCCTCAATGCCAAAGGAAAAGGTTGGTGACCTTTGGACTTTTTTCACTTAAACTAGGGTGATACTACTTTATTGCGTTTATGGGGAAAAATTATAAAGGTGGCAGGGGAAGAGTTTGCTCATAATGGGATTTTTTAGGAAAGTGAAGGCCTGCCTGTAGGAGCTAATGGGAAAGATGTGGTCAGATAAAGACATGCAACCACTCCTGCCAGTGAGATTACTTAGGAAGTCTTGTCTACATATTCCTGAAAAAGGGTTTAATTGTGTATTTGGTGTGCTGTGTCTGACATCTGTGTTTTCAGGCCCATGTAATCTAATCAGGTTGACCAATAGATTTTAGGACTGAAGGATTAAGGGAGTTTAGAGACTAATTCTTTAAATTTTGTATATTGAGTGATGACAGGTGGGGAACAAATCTGAATGTTGATTACTGAGCATACGTTAGGGTTATGTGATCCAAAGCAGTCGCACATCAGATAGGAAGTAGAGCCAACTCTCAGCACTGAGTCTTTTCAGTTACAAGTGAATCAGGAGAGGGCAATACCAGTTTTTCAAGTGATGATACGAAGAACTGGACTGGAGATGTCTAACCAGCACATCATTGGCAAAGCTGGAAGTTTCCTAGGCATTTGCACACCTCATAGCGACACATAAACTACCTGCTAACTCCAGGCCTTTCAGTGAGTTCAGTGTGCAGTTGACAAAGACATTCACTAGGATTCTTGGTAACCATTTGGTCTTCCAGTGGGCCTGGTGCAGGGGGCTCCACTTTGATGACCCTTGGCCCCATGTTGACCTAGTTCAGCCTTCAGAAGATAGTTGATAAAGTGCAGCGGAAGTGGCTTCTGAGCTGCTTTAAAGCCATTGGCCATCCAAGTAATAGAAGATATTGATGCAATAATAAGCAAAGACTGGCAAGAGGTTGCAAGTTTTGACTTGGACACCAGTGGCCTCTGTGCCAGGATGGGTTAGGTGTGGTGGAGGAGGCAGGACTTCTGTACCAGTTCTCTAGGTGTCCCTCCCACTCCTGTGGGTCCCTGACCCTCTTTCAGTGTTGCTGCTGCCTATTGTTCAGGGGTATATGTGGAATCCTTACCAAAATGAGATTAAAGATTGGATGAAATGTTTAAAGTACATATTGATTTCAAGTATCTGTCAAGGCCCTAGTAGGAGTAATTTCTCTTAGGTAAAGAAATTTAAAAAGCACCAAAGTACTGTTATACTGTATTGCTTACTTAGAATCTTTATTCTCTACATTCTAGGTTCGGAACCTCACTTACATGGTGACCCGCAGGGAAAAGATTAAACGGTCTGTGTGCAAAGTCCAGGAACAGATATTCAATCTTTACACTAAGCTTTTGGAGCAAGAAAGAGTTTCAGGTATGCATTAAGCCCTGGTAGGTCAAAGTATAGGGCAGGAGTTTGTAAGCTTTAACACTGTTGAGGAAGAAATAATGATTTCTTAATTTTCTTATAGAAGAATTTAAGAAGCATAGACGTTCATATTTAAAGGCAGTCTTTAATTTGAGGCATCATGTTTAAGGGAAAAAGCTATGAATTTGCCCTCTATAAATATGGGCGGAATCCTATGTTCTCTGCTTACTGAGCAAACACATGAAAGTCTTTGAGTCTCCCCAATTTCTTCATGTGCAAAATGGGGATATCTCAAGCTACCTCTTGGAATTGAGAGACTAAAATGAAACAGTGACTTATAGATGACACAGTACTTGGTGAACACATCATGGGGGTACCTAACAGGTTTATATTCAGCCATGGGCTCTATCTGTAACATGGTAAATATGGTAAATATCTCTTAAGACTGTACTTAACACAGTTCATTTTTAGATAATGTTCACAGTAGGCTTTTTTGGTGCAGATGGGTTGTTGAATATTTCTGAGATTGCGCACCAAATATTTATTTAGTGTCTTCTATTTTATATTGCCCTGGGCTAGGCAAACAGACAAAGAAAACTAGGGTATATACTTCCTCTACTCTGGAGAACGTATCAGTTACTTGGAGATCAAGGGCAAAGATCAAGTTGGGCAGGTTGTTTAACCTCTGAGATTCCGTTGATTTTAAAGTTTCTTTTAGAATCAAGACCCCTTAAGTGCGTTTGACTACATTCTGTGATCATAAGCCCCAAAAGTAGGTAGTATAACGATTTCAGAGAAGGAGAGCTGCTGAGTGTGGATCAGGCAGAATTAGGGACCCACGGAACAGGTAGGTCTTAGACTGGACATCATTGGAAGATAGCGTCTCTCTCCTGCCTTGGACTGCCCTTTAAAGTTATAGCAGCACCATTCTTGGTGCTTGCATTGTGCAATCATAGTTGAGTTACTCTTGTTTTTGTGCATTTGTGGCTTTTTGTCACTCCATCTAGATTATTATGGTGCACAGAGACAACAAAGAAGTTGTTATAACCTGTTGCGTTAAAATCCAAATTCTGGTTTCTCTAGCCAATTACGTGCGACTAGAGGGAGCTGGGTCATCTGAAGAAATAAAAAACGGTTTAGGGAGGTTTAAATGATGTTTTTGAAGTGTTACATAGTTTGAATGCAATAACTTATTGACATCCTCGATATTTTCGTCCCAAGATTAAGTATTTTCCAGGTGAATCAAGTGTATATTATTAGCTGGAACTTGGAGTTTAATTGTTAAGATTTTAAAAATAAATTTTCTAAGTAGGGTGTCATGTAAAAGTAGTTCGATTCAGACTCCCTAAGGGGAGCTCTTTCTTCATGATTCCTACCTGAACACAAATAAATGAGATCTGTTTAACTCTCTTGGAAGACTGTCTGGTGCAGATCACCGAGCCTACAGCAGCAAATGCCGAGCTGGGATCACTGCTGTAAGTTGTGCCTGTGGAGTTGTGCCATTGGAGGGCTTTCTGCAACTCTTAAGTCATTATGTAATGAGTGATTCCCTGTAAAAATAAGCCATAAAGAGCATTTTCATCTGGTTTCATTTGAGTTATTTCTCATGGATATTGCAGGCAGGTTTTTGCATTTCATGGCTGAGGTTTTTACTGGGTGAGCGAATGATATTCTTAATAAGGCTGGGAGTAGTTTTGTGGTAACAGAGCTGTAATGTAGATCTGCATTCAGAAATCCTACTATTTCAGAAAAGGAAAACAAATCCTCCTTTCATTCTGAGATAAGAACCATAGGTATGATCAGTTGAAAACATTTATCTTCCTGTAGGATGCTGTTGAGTAATGCAGTTGAAACCCTTTAGGGTGCTTTTTTTTCTTTTTCCAGTCCTAGGCTTCAGTTATGTTCTTATTCATGCCTAAAGGCTGTCTCCTGCCTGAAGTAGAGCAGATGGTCATGACTTTTGTGTCATTTAGGGTCCGTGGTTTAAACTGTGTGATTCTGAGAGTGGGTAGGGTCATTTGGCTGAGTCCTCAGTGGCAACAGTGCTTATGGGGGGGTCATGAGCTGGAGGCTCTCTAGAGACATGGGTTACAGTTAAGGAGATAGAAATCAGAGTTCAGAAAATGTTAGCCTCTTCTTACCATTCTCTTTTCCCATGGCAGGTGATTGAGTAAAAGAAATATATTCAGTGTGATGTGAAGGTGGATTCTAATGATTGATTCTTGAGAAAGCAGCATTTCCAAACCAGCAGGTTGTGAAATACCTCTTCCTGTGGTCATGACGGCTCTGTGTTCTGAGTCGCTAGCTATGTTTCATTTGCTCGCAGTGTCTGTGTCTGGTGAGCCTAGGTTCTCATATGGCCTCCTGTCTCATACCCTGGGGCTGAACCTTGTTTTCTTGGTGGTTCATATCTTATGGGAGACAGAAAATATGAGAACTGCTCTTTCTAGATGTTCTTGAGGCTGTTGTAGAGTCATGGTCTTTATGACAAACTCTAATGAATTCACCCACTAGGGGTAACAACTCATTAGTGGGTTGTGAGATGAATTCAGTGGATCATGACCAGCATTAAAAACAAGTAAAGTATAATAGGAAATGTCAGAGTGTATTATCAAGTGATGAGGGTTAATATTATTTCGTGAAATGTGAACTCTTACTAGGTCATGCTGTGGAATTTAGTCACTGTGATTTGCATCAAAAAAATTTGAAAAACATCAGTTTAACTTACTTCCAGTTGAATGACAATTCAGTTGAATCCCACAAATGTATTTTGCACGTAATGAATATTTTTTGGAACACTTACTATGTGTCAAGAATTATTTTAAGGCCAGGCACGGTGGCTCACGCCTGTAATCCCAGCACTTTGGGAGGCCGAGGCGGGCAGATCATGAGGTCAGGGGATCGAGACCACGCTGGCTAATATGGTGAAACCCTGTCTCTACTAAAAAAGTACAAAAAAATTAGCCAAGCGTGGTAGCGGGCACCTGTAGTCCCAGCTACTCTGAGGCTGAGGCAGGAGAATGGCGTGAACCCAGGGAGGCGGAGCTTGCTGTGAGCCGAGATCGCTCCACGGCACTCCAGCCTGGGCAGCAGTGCAAGACTCTGTCTCAAAAAAAAAAAAAAAAAAGAATTATTTTAAACATTTCCTTTATTCATTTCACATGTTTACATGTATTTGTCCTCCTAATAACCCTGTGAGGGTATAGACACTTAGAGACAGAAACCCCAGACCCTGCTTTTTGGGTGCTCTTAGTCTCGTACTGGAGGCAGAAGACTGGACCGTGGAGGAGCGCGGTGCAGTTGCTGCTCTGTAACCAGGTAGAGGGAGCAGAGGCAGCCATCAACCACCTGATGGGTTCTGCATGGAGTCCCCTCTGAAAATCAGATCAGTTATTTTGTTCGGAGGAACATGTATTTATTTGAGGAGGTACAGTTTTTTGAAAAATTATGTGAGCTTCAGCTGTTTCAGAAAATGTTGCATATTGAGTCTGCAGATTGAATGGAGATTCTCAAGGCAGGTCATCTCTTCACTATAAAAACCAAATTTGTACAAACTTGGTGGTGTAAGTGTTGTGTTGTTGGGTGGGGAGTTCACATAAATTGGGCCACACTGAGGGTCTAGAATTTTATTCTTACGGATTTGCTTCTGTTGTAATTTTTCTTTATTTGTGGTTTTGTTTATAGGTGTGCCTTCTTCTTCCTGCTCCTCCTCCTCACTGGAAAACATGCTTTTGTTTAACAGTCCTTCTGTGGGCCCTGATGCTCCCAAGATAGAGGACTTGAAGTGGCATTCCGCGTTCTTCAGAAAACAAATGGGTACTTCCTTGGTTCATTCGCTGAAAAAGCCCCATAAGCGAGGTCCTTTGCAGAATAGCACTGGAAGGGAAGGCAAAACCCTGCTGAAGCAGCCAGACCTCTGTGGTAGAAGGGAGGGGATGGTGGTCCCAGAGAGCTTTTTGGGTTTGGAAAAGACCTTTGCAGAAGCACGTCTCATATCAGCACAACAGAAAAATGGTGTGGTGATGCCAGACCATGGGAAAAGAAGAGACAATCGTTTTCATTGTGATCTCATTAAAGGAGACTTAAAGGACAAATCTTTTAAACAGAGTCACAAGCCTCTCAGGTCCACAGATGTGTCCCAGAGGCATCTGGACAACACAAGAGCTGCCACCTCCCCTGGAGTGGGGCAGTCAGCACCTGGCACAAGGAAGGAGATAGTGCCCAAGTGCAATGGCTCCCTAATCAAAGTAAACTATAATCAGACTGCAGTCAAAGTGCCTACAACACCTGCCAGCCCAGTGAAAAACTGGGGAGGATTCCGGATTCCAAAGAAGGGGGAACGGCAGCAGCAGGGAGAGGCCCACGATGGGGCCTGCCACCAGCACTCAGACTACCCATATTTGGGCTTAGGCCGAGTTCCAGCCAAGGAAAGGGCAAAAAGCAAATTAAAATCCGACAATGAGAATGACGGGTATGTCCCCGATGTGGAAATGAGTGACTCAGAGAGTGAGGCATCAGAAAAGAAATGTATACACACCAGCAGCACTATCAGCAGGAGGACAGACATTATCAGGAGAAGCATCTTGGCTTCTTGATGCAACAGAGATGACACGGAAGCCCTTTGGGCTCGTCACTGGGTGTGCTAGAGGAGACCTCTGATGGAGGGAGAAGCAGAAACCCATTAATCCTGAGCTACACAAACACATTTACTTGCAATTCAGATAAATTTTTTTCCAGAGTCATTTTTAAATCATTTTTGTGAGAAGTTTGTGTTATTTGCAACTTGTTGAGGAAACAGAAGAGTAGATTGTAACCGTAAGACATTGCTAAGACTAGTACCTGAACTAAACACTAAAATAAGAATGAAATAAGTTTTAAAGAATGCAAGGCTTAAATAAGCGTCATGAATTTTTATAGCCCTCTGCATTCTTCCCAAAGCACAAACTCGTGGTTACCTGAATATAGGGAACCAGATATGGTTCTTGAGAAACCCTCATGCTACCATTCATAGCCCATAAAGTTTATTTTCTAGGACTGCGGTAGATCTTGAAATCATATTTATATTTGGCCCTCAAGGCTATTTTTGTTGCATTATAGTATACAGGCAGCAGCTCTGAAGCTTCAGTAACACTAGGAAATTTATGTGTAAATATAGCAGTCAGGGAAGAGAATTTTTAAAAGGTCATTATTGAAGGAGCTGAGGGGACAGGGTAGAGCTGCTGCAATGTGGAGATTTAGGGTAATATAGCAAGGTCCTGCTGCTTGAAGCCTGTGAGTGGGTTGTGGATATGGGACTGGTGGAGAGTGAGACTGTTAGGAAAGTTGTATCTATGAATAAGGGCAGTTGAAGTACAATTTTTACCAGTCCACTTGACCTCCTTCTTCCCTAACCACTGGCTCTTGAGCCAGCTTGGGATTTCCCTGGCCATTGCCAATACCTGGCCATCTGGCTTCCAATAGTACAATGGCTACTCAAGTTCAAGTGAAGAACTTCCAGACTCTGGTGACTCTTACTTCCCAGAGCCAACCACTAGTGCATATGTCAGGGAATCCGGGCTTCCAACATGAACGGATTCCTTAAGAAAAAGGAAAAAAAAAAAAAAAAAAAAAAAAAAAAGAAAAAGGAAAAAAGAGAAAAAGCGAAATAGGTTATATTTTAAAAACAATAGAAAGGCAATAAGTTGCGATAAGCTCTTACTATTGACCAAGGTTATACAGGAAAGAGACTGAAGTGTACCCTTGAATAGGTTTTCTGTAGTCAGAGTTCTAAACTCTAATTTGTAACTTGGACTTTCTAATTGCAAATGGCAATAACTAGTAAGTTATCAGCAATAATAAATTTAGCATTAAATTTGAGTACAATGTTTTGTTTTTGCACTCACTGTAGTGCATATGTATTAAGACAGTGGATAGTGTTTAGGTCCTGTTAATTTTCTTTGGAATTCAATGTGGTTGTGAATCAAACTTAAGGAAGGAAAGTTTAAATAGCAATGAGATACAGAATTATGGGCCTTTGGAACAAGCCCGACTTCCCCTAAATTCTCTTTAGTTTGTTAATACCAGTATTCAGATTCCTGATTCATTTATACATCTGTTTCCATATGGCAGGGACATTATGATACTTAATGAATAATGCTTTGAGTTCTGCAGTTAACTTTCAAGTCTTCCAGATGATTGTCAACAACAAAAAAGGCTTATTGAATTCCATCTTGCTATGCAAGTTTTATCAGATGATCAAATAGTAGATCTGATGCATCCCTATTGTATGTATGACATTTTCAAACCAAGTCTTAACTTTTGAAGTCATTTTAGTAGCTAATTCAGGGGAGGGGAAAGAATGACGCAGGTTTTTAGACTGACTGACTATTTTTGAGCTATGGGCTCATTTTGAAAGACTGCTGTCCAGATCAGCTTGTTGCTACAGATAATAGAAGGTTCTTATGAATCCAAGTTGTATATTCACTTGTAGCATAATTTAAAAATTAGATTTTTTTTGCATATGAGCAAAAACCTTTTGCTGGATACAGGAGAAGGTTGGACTTTATCTACAGTTATCTTTTGACTACAGCAACAGCTCTGGGTGAGAGTAGAATTTATAGAGGGATAATTTGTCAAGCCATAGAAAGAAAATCTAAATTAATAGTATCACCTCTCACCATTTTAAGAGGTATCAGATTCATTTGCACTATTAGGAATGCTAGTTTTGTGCAAAAATAATGCCTTACCTGTTTTTTCCCCACATTTAGGTTGAAAAGCTTTCAAATGTTCCAAGTTATGCTGAACCAAAAAACAAAACAAAAACAAAACAAAAAATATTAAAAAAAAAACCCACACAAAAACAAAACACACAAAAATAAAAAGCCCACACTTTTTATTCCTGCTTCAAAATGCAAATGGTATAGAGCACGGTTTCTCTGACAGTATAATGATAGCTTTGTGAATTAGTTTCATGTCATGCTGGGAACTCTGTATGAGGTGGCCATAAGCAGCAACCAGCCCAAACACCCACTTGCATTCTATTAGTATGGAACCATTTGCATTTTTTTTTTAAGCTTTATCTTTCCTTGTGCATCCTGACCAAGAAATATCTTTGATTATGATTAATGTATTATGTCAAAATGTAGGCTAGTTAAACTTTTGTAAAGTTGCCTGGAATGTCATTTGTTAGGTTTTAAACACAAGATCTAAATGAAGGGTTTTATGTGTTGTGTACAAATCTTAATTATTTTGAAATGGACAAACTTGTCATTACATTTGTAACCTTGTACAGAGGATTTTTCACTATGTGCCTAGCTTGGTGTCCATTCAGCTAAAATTGAAAAAAAAAAAAGGTGCATGAAGAGTTAAAAATCAAATTAAAGTATATGTAGAGATGACTATTTTATATTACATGACCCAATCCTGTATTTATTTCTACCCCCTTTTTGAAAGTATTTATAAAACTAGTTGAGGACAGCTGTATTTTTTTGTTGAACTATTTAGTAGAATTGTGCCTTTTTGTCTGTATGTGAATAAATGCTGTACATTTTGCAATACATTTTAAGTGTCTTCTGAAATCTGCTTTTGCTAAATATTTAAAGGTATATATGACTTAGCAGTCCTGAATCAGTTGTTTACTGTTGCCCAATTTAAATCAGGAATGAGAACTGTAGAGAACATATCAAGATTGTGCAGAGCATAGATTCAATGCGCTGCTTTCTGGCTCAACTCTGATGGTGGAACTGAAAAATAACGGTTTGGTTTTAGTCTTCCTCACCTGGAGTTCTTTCCAGAATACAGTTTTGGATCTGAAAACATAGAATCGTTGAAACAACATAGACTTCAGGGTCAGAGAGAACTGTATTTAAAGGCTAAACTATAGTTTACCAGGCATGTGACATTGGCCAAGTCACTGAACCGTTTTAAGCCTCAGTTTTCCCAGAAAGAGGATAACATCTTAGTATCTTAGATACTGAAGTAGTTGTGATTATTTAAAGCAAGTCCATTGAGCACCTTACAGAGAGCATATATTAGGCGTTTAGAAAGTGGTAGGCTATTATTTTTATTAGGAACAAGACACTGATATTTGCAATGTTATTTTAACTGATGAGCTTTCTGAGGTGAAAAAATACTCCTGAATGATGGGAAGGTTGTATTTATAATACAACCTTTAAATAATTTTAAAAATAATTTTTCAAAGAGCAGTTTCATTAAATGCTTTCTTTTGATCACAGAACTCTGGGACAATAGGGCAAAAAAAGAGATTATCTGCATTATACACCTTAAGACTTGGCCAAGATCGCAGCAGTAGGTACTGGCAGAACTGGGCCTACACTCATTCTCATTTCTAATTTTGAGTTCTCCCTGCCTGAAACAATCTTTTGTACATCCTCTACATGCAGAAATTAGCATATAGTGAAATGTACCTTTTTCTTTATGTTGGGAACAGCAAAACTGGTGTGAATTATGTATTCTCATGTAGATTATAATGATTAGGATCCAAAACAGGATAGCTATCTTAGTCTAATTTATAATTTTTGTAAGGATTTGGCCAGTTAAAAAAAAATTATTCGTACATTTTGCTAAAAGCTTATTTCTTGTTTCTCCTTAGTGACTATTTACTTCCATATTGCTTGCTGTGAGTAAGACCCCTGAGAGAAATAACTGATTCTTCCTACAAGGTCTTAAAGTTGAATAACCACAATAGTTCCCTAGGGAAATTAAGTCCCCAGGAGCCAAAGGAAGGGCCTATCATTGGCAGTTGTGCAATCTGTGATGGCAAATGTAGCACCAGGGACTGATGTTCATGTTTTCACCCGAATCACTGAGAAAACAATTTCTACCTTTGAAGCATTAGCCATCTGCAACAAACTTCACAATTAACTTCGAGGTTGAAATCTTCAATATGATTTCCCTTTAATGCTCAGAACTGCATTAGATGACGTGTTCTAGTCTGAGGCAGGCTTTGACTGCCTGGTCATTGAAAAAGAGGATAAATGCAAATTCAATGTTACCTACTTCCTTGACTTCAACTGTTCCCTGTACTACTTACTCAGTTTGGCATCTCTGCAATCCAGCTTTTCTGGAGTGTGAAGAGATTGCTTATTGGGCATCCCCTCTTGGATGTATACAGGTACTTGAGATTTTGGACCTCTCTTTATATCCTGTTTTAGAGAATGTCCTCCTAGACTGAAACCTAGGAGTCCTTTATGAATTCTTCAGCTCTCACAGCCAAAGAGTGATCAAGGCCTGTGTATTATATTTAATACTGCCTTGATATTTTTTGTTTTGGATCCCACCACCATTTGCTATATAATTCAAGCCTCTTCATTTTTTGCCTGGATTACTGAAGCAGCCTCTTATCTGGTTTCCTTGACACAAATCTTACTGAAATTAATCTCTCCAGCATTTGGCTGAAGCCTTGCCAACGGTATCTCCATAGTGATAACTTCTGAAATAAAAGCTGATTTTGTCATTCCACATAGCCTTTGGGGAAACCTCCTGACTTCTGCAGATAATTACAAAGGTTTATCAAGTGGCAAGCACTAGTATGTAATTGTTAATTAGTTTAATCCTTATAATGTGAAGTAGGCACTATTATCTCCAATTTGCAGATGAGGAAACTGAGGCACAGAGAAATTAAGTAATTTGCTCAAGGTCAGTAGGGGTAGATCTGGGATTCAATCCCAGCCCGTCTGGGATTGAGACCTGTAGGCTGTACTGCCTCTCAGAATATAAAAATAGTTCACACACGGCCGGGCGCAGTGGCTCATGCCTGTAATCCCAGCACTTTGGGAGGCTGAGGTGGGAGGATCCCGAGGTCAGGAGTTTGAGAACAGCCTGAACCATATGGTGAAACCCTGTATCTACTAAAAATACAAAAAATTAGCCAGGTGTGGTGGCGTGCGCCTGTAATCCTAGCTACTCAAGAGGCTGACGCAAGAGAACTGCTTGAACCTGGGAGGCGAAGGTTGCAGTGACCTGAAATCACGCCACTGCACTCCAGCCTGGGTGACAGAGTGAGACTTGGTCTCAAAAAAAAAAAAAAAAAAGAGTTCACACAAAGTAGTTCGCATATTTTTGAGTATACTGAGGACTACATGTGTAAACTTCAGTTAAATGAATTGGTAAAGTTAAATTTATTTGTAAAGCCAATAAACTTGGTTAAAACATGTTAATGCACTGGTTAAAAGACTTTTGAGTATAACCTAAGAGATAATGAGCAGGATAGTCTGCTTATGGTCAATTAGTTCCTGCCTTATTCTAGGAAGAATGGAATTAATTTAGTCACATGCATATTTATATAACACACATACATACAAACATATTTACAGATCAGATACATGTATATGTGATCAAAGAAAACAACACTGCTATCAAAGAATAAAGGGAATAACTGAATTCTGTCTATATCCTCACACTGCTTGGAAAGTTACAGAATTATTTAAAATCACAGTTTCTTGATGTTGAGAACTAATATCTTAACACTAAATTAAAGCTACGTAAAACCTCCAAGTCAGCATTTTTGTGATCTAAAGTATAATAAATCCAGTTATTTTTACAAATGAGTAAGCAATGCTGAATTAAGTAGCAAAGATAAAAATAATGTGTGTTGTCATTCCTAATGTATCGCCAATGTGTCCTGATATTCTCACTACTACTTGGCTTATATATGGCTGAGTTTTAAAAATTACGTTATAATTATGGGTTAATGTGATTATTTTACTCACTAATCTGGGTGATAGTTCTAACTTCAGGATTATGACCAGTGTAAAACAATTTCTTTATGAAGCAAATCTTTTTCTCTGGTGTTTCCCTTCCCATGCAACAGTTTCAAAGAGAGCTTTTCTCCTTTTTTCCACCAATTTTGGCTCTAATTCAGTTCCATCCTTGGAGCTTCTCTTTTTTATATCAAATGCTTGTGATGATATCTTTGCCTCAACTAGTCTCAAGTACTCTAAGTAAATACCTTTCAAACTCCATGCTTTAAAATATCACACTCTGAAAGAAAATTATACATTATATCACTTTACAATAACTAAACACAATTTAACATTTTTTTGGTCGATTAAAATTGGTGAAACTGTCATCACTCATTGAAGAAACCTGGAAACTTTCAAAGGAAGTATTAAGCTAATTACTATAACTTCCTTTGCTTCCATCTATTTTTTTCTACTACTTACATTTAGGTTGTGGCCAATTTCTTTTCTAGGTCTGAAAAATTTACCAAATCCCACTAGATATGAGGATACTTTTTTCTAGCACGTTTTTTAGGTATATATACATAATCTGAAAACCAAAAGAGCTTTTTGGGTAGTGCCAGTCAGAGAGGGAATTAAAACAAAAAAAGAGGCTCATAGCTCAGAATTGTTTTAAGGTTGATGAATGAAAAAGTGCAAGTAGAATTTTTCGAAACCTATTTGGCATCTATATATTCAATCAAGAACGCTGATCCTTGAACTGCAAGGACAGAGTGGACACAGGTAAAATCATGAGGGTCACTTGAAGTCTAGAATGTGTGAAGCACTTATATGAGAGCATCTAGATGTTTACAGTAGTTCAAGCCTCCTAACCCAGATGAATTACATCCCATGACACTTGGAGAACCTATAAAGGTTATTTTCGAATCACTGTCAGCAAATGGGAGAGGTGTCAAAATTATAGATTCCTCAAACTCTAAAGATACAACGTTGCACAATAGTACAATTCTAGTGTTGACCAGATCTGGTCTGAAATCCAGCTGTGCCACCTGCCAGCTATGTGACCCCGAGCAAATGACTTAACTTTTACTATACCTCATCTCTTTGGAAAGGAAATAACACCTACCTAGAAGGGCTGTCGGACTATATGAGATAATAATGCAAAATGTTAGCATGATGCATAGCATATGACAGATGCTCAACAAATAGACATTATTAATACACATAAGCATGTTACCATAATCCAGAGAAACTCTCCAATGGATTGGTTTAGTTATTTGAAGAAATATGCTTATAACTTCTCTTATTCTCCTTTATCCCATAGAGTAGTTTAAATGAAAGGAGATCTAGTCTCACTTTTAATCCTCCTAGATGTAAATATTAAAGGTTTCCTTATACTTTATATTATGCTCTGATAGCTTTTTCATTCATTGATAAAAGGACTGTGCTGCCATAGAATGAAAACATTGAGTAAAAACTTCCATAATGCCTTATCAAAGGAATTGAAGAGTTTTAACAAACATAAAAGGAACCTGCTGTGATCACTAGGATGCTACATGGATTTATTAAGAAGGCTAAGTTACTTTTCATTTTGGACAGGATTACTGGATTACATCTGGAGAATATGACTAGTGTGGCATAAATGAACTTTTGCTTGGCAGAAGGCTGGATCTTTCTTGATGTTCTTATGATAGTGCACAAGCAGCCATATGGGCCAGATTAAAACCAGGTTGAATTACTACATCTGACATGTGCTGATCAGTTACCCATTTAAGGGAGGTGGTGCTCGGTATGCTCTGAGACTGTCTATATTTCAATCTGTCTGTTTCTTTTCTTTTTTTTCAATGGTTCAAATGAAAATATGGGTAGCATGTTTATCAAATGTGTGGCTAGCATTCATTGTAAATAAAAAATTGTCTGTGGTGCAAGAAATATAGCAGTAAATAAAGACAGACATGGCTCCTATTGTAGAGCTATCAAACGAGGTAACAGAATTAGGAGCTAAAATGACCTCAGCAGTTTCTAATAATTTAATTAATAGGGATAAATAACTAGTCTTGTATTTAGGCAAAGATTTGGCTTAGCAACAAAACCTTTGAAAAAGACTTAGGATTTTTTGGCCGGGTGCGGTGGCTCAAGCCTGTAATCCCAGCACTTTGGGAGGCCGAGATGGGCGGATCACGAGGTCAGGAGATCGAGACCATCCTTGCTAACCTGGTGAAACCCCGTCTCTACTAAAAAATACAAAAAAACTAGCAGGGCGAGGTGGCGGGCGCCTGTAGTCCCAGTTGTTTGGGAGGTTGAGGCAGGAGAATGGCATGAACCTGGGAGGCGGAGCTTGCAGTGAGCTGAAATCCGGCCACTGCACTCCAGCCTGGGCGACAGAGGGAGACTCTGTCTCAAAAAAAAAAAAAAAGAAAAAGACTTAGGATTTTAGTTGACAACATGCTCAATATCTGTCCAACAGTGTGATTCAACTTTCCCTCCAAAACTCCAAAAAAGCTAACATAATTTTAAGCTGCATTAATGGAAGTGTAAACTATGGAATAAGTTCTATAGAATAAACTATAGAATAGTAATTCATATTTTTCCCTCATCCTAAACACTGAAAAATATTACATATGTATACTTCAATGAATCACTAACTACAGTGACCCCCTAAGCATGATCTCCTAAGAAACTGTTTCAGAATCTTCTTGGGGTAGGGAGAAGACAAAGGGTACATAGTTTGCAGCCATATCTATTCTCTGGAGATCTAATAAGTTGTCGGCTTACACATAGGCAAATATCACACATGGGGGGCACCTATGAGAATGTGGAACACATGTGAGTGTTTTGCGGTGAATTCTTGAGCTAGAGGATACCAGTGTTGTAAAAAATTTCTTTTAAGATGCCTTTCTGTCCAATGACTTTTATTATCTAAGTATATTTTTCTTCCTTATATAAATATATGGCTTTGTCCCCAAAGCCATATATTTTTCTAAGGTTTAAGGGATGGTAAGGGACAGGTTTTTATCTGCAACCTCAGGGTACTGCAATCTCTCTGTCTACATGTTTATGTGTATATATGTATGTTTTAGGTAATCACTAGACAAATTTAATTATTTTTGATAAAAATTTTTGCAAAAAAGTTCATTACAAATTTATTTTGAAAAAAATGATAAAAGACATTATGGTTAAAGAATAGAATTTATAGTAAAATGTTTAAAGTGTTTTTTCACTCTTTCTTGATTTGAGAGTTGGTTTGGCAAGACTATGTAGCTATGAAATATTTAATATTTGCAGACTTAATGAGTGACTCAATTGCTGCTAATGTTTTCCCATGTTTGGGGTAGTTATAATTCTCACACCAGAGAAGAAATTAGAAGATTGTTGCCTGCCCTAGTTTGCATATTTGTATACAAAGGGAAGAAGAGGTAATCATCTCCTTTCTTCTTCAGGGAGAAACAATCAAGAAACATGAATAAATAAAATGAACTAGCTGTGTTGTCCTCAATAGCAGATCTATGTCACTTCTTACCTCTTTCCTACTCATTTCTCCTGTATAGTAAAATACAGTTCACAGAATAAATGATATTGTTTGTATCATTTATAAATGAAGACTGACCTATACGAGAAGTGTTAAAAACTCCACTACATTTTTACATTGGAAATTATTATTGTTATTATTTTTTTTGAGATGGAGTCTCGCTCTGTCGCCCAGGCTGGAGTGCAGTGGTGCGATCTCAGCTCACTGCAAGCTCCGCCTCCCAGGTTCACGCTATTCTCCTGCCTCAGCCTCCCGAGTAGCTGGGACTACAGGTGCCTGCCACCAGGCCCTAATTTTTTGCATATTTAGTAGAGATGGGGTTTCACCATGTTAGCCAGGATGGTCTCGATCTCCTGACCTCGTGATCCACCCGCCTTGGCCTCCCAAAGTGCTGGGATTACAGGCCTGAGTCACTGCAACCGGCCTACATTGGAAATTATTAACAAACTTTTCTGAAAAGAAAAAAAGCCTCAAGTTTAGTTCTGTTGCTAAACATAGCTTAAGCCTGTTCAAATTCAACAGAGGTCAGAAAGGCATATTATCTGCATATTAGCAGCCTATTCTTCTCTTGGAGAATATCTAAGTATGCAAGGAGATCCAAGAGAAGATGGGTTATCAGAATGTGAAGAGTAGTTGCCTGAGGCCAAAGTTTGGAGGAAGTATCTCTGTTCCGAGATTTTCCCTTGAAAATATACGTATGGAAAGTTAGATTTTTTGAAAACGTATAATAATATAATACTTATATTCCATTTGCTAGAGTGTTAGTTTCTGAAGTGCTTTCTTCTACAGTCTCATACTTTTGATAGACATAAAATTCTAACATCCCTAAAATTTTCTAAAAATAAATTCTATGTTCTATAAATATGAATATGAACATAACTCTTACTACATGGAAATGAGTCTGTGAATGACCTGGGAAGGAATTTAAAGAATCAAATGAAAAATTCTTTAAGAAATGAAAATAAGCTATGTGCCTCCAATCTGATTACCATTTAACTGCCATATAGGTATGATTTGGTCTCATCATTGCATTTGATACTAGCAACCATGCGCCTTCCTTGAGTGGTTTATCATGTTGGAGTCTCTTTGTTATGACCCTCTCATTGCTCCTATTTAGTCTCCTATAATGACTCATCTTCGTGAGCTCATTCAACAAATAAAGACATTCCTTCAGGTCCTGTTCTTAAAAACTCAGTTGTTGAAAAAGCAGTTATTGAATACCCTCCACGTGCCAGGGACTATATTGGGTGCTAGGGAGAAAATGAATGAGAATACATGTGGTCTTACTCTTACAGAGCTTGTACTCTGTTGGGGAGAAGATGACATGAAAGAAAGTATTCCAAAAAGAGTGAATTACAAATATTGATAAGTGCTTTGAAGGAAAACTATGGTGCACTATTATGAGCAATAGAACAAGGGGATCTTTTTGAGGCTAGGGAGGGCCTCTGAGGAACTGATATTTGAGTAGAGATCTGAAAAGTGTATAAATAAAAAAGTACATGCAGATGCCAGACACAGTGGCTGAGGCCTGAAATCCCAGCACTTTGGGAGGCCAAGGCAGGCAGATCACCTGAGGTCAGGAGTTCAAGACCAACCTCGCCAAGATGGTGAAACTCCGTCTTTATTAAAAACAGAAAAATTAGTGGGTGTGGTGGCGGGTGCCTGTAATCCCAGCTACTTGGGAGGCTGAGGCAGGAGAATGGCTTGAACCTGGGAGGCGGAGGTTGCAGTGAGCTGAGATCATGCCTCTGTATTCAAGCCTGGGCGATTGAGCAAGACTGCCTCAAAAAAAGAAGGTACATGCAGAGACCCTGTATTGGGAGGGAGGATTTTATACTGATGAAAGTAAAGAAGGCCATCAAAGTCAGAGCACAAGAAATGGAGGGGAAGAAAAGTGTGGGAGGAGGCTGAAGAGACTGCTATTCACATCATGGAAGGCCCCAAGGGTAGCTCTTCCACTTTCACAGCTTCAATTCTCAGCTCCACACAAAAGGCTCCCATCGCACACTGGGGCCTGCCGAGGGGTGAAAGGGTAGGGGAGGATCAGCATTAGGAGAAATACCTAATGTAGATAACGGGTTGATGGGTGCAGCAATCCACCATGGCACATGTATACCTATGTAACAAACCTGCACCTTCTGCATATTTACCCTAGAACTTAAAATATGATAATAATAATAAAAAAAGATTCCTATGACTGTCTTAACTGTTAGCATCAGTACTAAATTTCTGACTGATGGTTGAATATCTACACGTGAATGTTTTCATGTCACCTTCAACTCAAACTCATTATCTTTTATCTGGACAACTGCAGCAGTCTCCTGATTGGTTATCCAGATGCAAACCTCTCTGCTTTAACCAACAGAAACCAGGGTGCACTAAGTGCAAACCAGAGAACAGGTACATGTATCTATGAAGATCAATAGGACTTCAATAGTTCAATGCCATGCAGTCTTAGCACCTAAGATCTCCATTTGATTAGTATTGCTTTAAGTAACATGTAAAAAACTCCTTCCAAATTCTTAAATATCAAGTTTCATAAATACTGAAAACTGTAAGTTAAAAATGAAGCACTACAATCATACATTAAAATACATGACAGCATTGTTTTAGAAAGTGCACAATTTATTACATTTATGAGTTCATAATAAAATGGATACTTAAGAACTTTAAAAATGAGTTAGAAGTAACAATTAGATGTAAAATTTTCAAATCTTGGAAACTGAAATATTAAATTCTAGAATTTTCTTAAAAACTCTTTCTTATGAAAGAGAAATTTGCATAGTTTGAAAATTATTATAGCCTTTCAAGGGAAAAAGGAGGAATTAAAAAACAGACACGTTGATGAAGGCAATGAGTTCTTCTCAGCTGGTTTATTCTCCACTGAAGCTCAATATAGGATTATATTTTCTTTACTTACAGGAAGTGGTCACTGCTCTGTTTTCCAATAACCCTCAAAACAGAATAACAATGCTTACGCAAAATAACACAAGCCTTAACTATTATACTCTGCAGGCTTTACCATTTCAATACACTTCTAGTCCAACTGCTTTCCCAACTCTAAAGTTCTGTGAATGAACTATGAATATTTTTAAATATTTTCCAGATTCATCAGGGAGGCTGCTTTTCTTCTCTGCACTGTAATCACACTGAGCTGCAATTAAAATAAACAATCGGTAAGTAGTTACTTTTTCTGTGGAAAATCTTAGATTAATACAAAGTAGAATGCATCACAACCTATAAGTACTGAAAACGGTCTTATTGGAAAGGGTTTTGTAAACGATCTTTTTCTTTTTGAGGCAGTCTTGCTCTGTTGCCCAGGCTGGTGTACAGTGGTACAATCACAGCTCACTGTAGCCTTGACCTCCCAGGGTCAAGTGATCCTTCTGCTTCAGCCTCTTCAGTAGTCACTTTGCCTGGTTAATTTTAATTTTTTTCAGAGACAGGGTCTCACTACATTGACCAGACCAGCCTTGAACTCCTGGGCTCAAGCAATCCACCCACCTTCATCTCAAAGTACTGGGATTATAGGTGTAAGCCTCTGTGCCCAGTCAGTGATCGTTTTTAAATTAATATCTATTTTACTCTTAAAACTTTAAAATGTCTATTACATTAGAGAAATGCAGGTCAAATAAGACATTCGATAGCTCAGGGTTGATATGCTTAGAATTGTAAAACATATTCCAGATGGATGAAAAACATCTAGATAAAAGTTAATCAGGAAAGTTTCTAAAACACAAACTAATGTGAGCCAACACAATGCAAGGCTGATAATAAAGTGAAGATAGATCTTAACAAGAAAAGTCTAATAGAAAAATAATCTTTAAATGTTAGTAGGAATTGATAATATATACACATGGTAAAAAAAAAGATCTAACAGTATGAAATGGTAGACAGCATAAAGGAAGTCTCATTCCCATTGCTGTCTTTCATTCCAGACACCTCTCCAGATACAACCAGTATTTCCAGTAAGGTATGCTTCCAGAAATATTTTAAATGAGAATATCTGTATTTCTTCTTTCCTTTTATTTAAAAAATGATGAAAGAATTATAAACACTTTTCATCTTGTTTTCTTTTCTTCTAAATTACCTACCTTAGAAATAGCTCTATATTAGGACTATTATACTTTATTCTTCTTAATAGCTGCAAGCTATTCCTCTGTATGAATACTCCATAATTTAACTAGTCTGCTATTGTTGGGTATTTGTATGGTTTTTAATCTTTTAAAATGATAGACAACGCTTCAATCAGTATTTTTACATGTTTGCTTCCTGGCAAAAATGTTTCCAGGTGCAAGTATGGGTCAAAGGTTACATACATTTACAGTTTTTGAAAGATACTGCCAAACGGTGCTCTGGAGACTGTACCAACATGTGCTTATATCAATAACGTGTGAGACTGCCAGCACAATGCTTTTCCAAACTTCACGATCTGATAGGTGAAAAATGATGTGATTACAGTTTACATTTGTATTTGTCTTATAGGTGAGGGTGAACATCTTTTTAAATGTTTAAAAGCCATCTGTCCTTCTTTCTCCATAAACTTCCTTTATATATTTGTCTACCGGACTGTAGCATTTTTTGAAAACTTAGGCATCCTTCGTATGTATTTAGGGCATTAGCCTTTTGTCATATATGGTACAAATATTTTTCTCGGTTTGTCACTGACTTTATGACTTTTTCTGATACAGATATTTGAAACTGTGAACATATTTATTATTTTTTTTCTTAGCTTCTAGGTTTTGTGTTCTTGCATTGAAAGGCTTCACCACACTGATTTAAAAAACTCATATGTTGACAGATCACAGTATGGCATTCAACCATTTAGAGTGATACACTTAGAATGGATGAATAACATGTAGAGAAAGTTAATCAGAAAAGCACATTTAGAGCAAAGTGAATCAGCATGATCCAGGGCTTGTATTGAACCAGTAACACGATGCTGCACTGCACTATGGTAAGTGTGATGTGTCAGAGACGATAATAATTTTAAAATTTTTCTGCATTTTGTTAATATCATGCATTTAGTAGGATATTATTTCTAATAGCACTTTTTCAGTTTTTATAGGAAAATTAGAAGATTCAGAGAGGGCAAATATAAAAATTAAAAAAATAAAATGTACATCTTACAAACAAAGTTGATCACCTGGACTCATATAAAACAGAACAAATATTAACTCCAGGGAAGAAATTCCTTTTTGGGTAAGGGGAAAGTGCCAAATGATTACCTTCCATCTTCAAATAGGAACAGAAGGGAAGGAGACAAGCTTAGGGAAAGATTTGTTACAGAACAATTCGTGAAGTGGTTACTGACAAAACATTTTAAAAAGGTTACTTAAAAGAATGGTGGAATCTTTCCCATTGGGGAGTTTAAACAACAGAAGAAACATCAGTGCTAGACTGTTTAGGTTTAATTTTTTCAGGGAGGAAACTAATCTAGCTGCTAACTGGTTATATAATTAATGTCCTGTAATTGTACCGTTTTTACTATAGAACTCAAGGTAGCTGATTTTACGTAGACATTTTCTTTGCCATTTGCCTTAAAAAAGGTAAATGAGAAGCTTTAAAGATTATGATACAGAAATTTAATTTCTTATATATCCTTCTAAATATCTACTTATCACTAAGGGAAATGCTTTACATGTGTTAATTCTTTTGATCCTTTAATAACCATATGAGGGAGGTGTTATTATCCTATATTAAACATGAGGAAACTGAGGCTTAGAGAAGTTGAAATTGCCCAAACTCACATGACTACTTAATGGCACTAAATGGCACTAAGGGATTTGCCTGACACCGAAACACATACTATCCAGATACTGTCCAGTGCACCTAACTTCTGTTATCTTATAACCTAAATATGTTCTTAAATAATTGGCTAACCCATTAGGTAACTCATAACTTCATCAGACATAAAAATTATTTGAAAAGACTGTAATTACTTTCAAGAGGGAGAGGAACAGAAGGATAAATTATTACTAAATTTTCTTTAAGTGGCATGCCATGTTCATAACAGAAGTAGATTTTAAAAAATCTGTAAATATCATGAACATAAACTGAATTCAGCAAGCAGAGTGGCTTTACTATGTATAAAATGCTGTAGTAGTTAAGAATATTAATTTTGATTGAAATAATGCATTTATAAGCAAATATAATTAATAATATAGTAACTTGATTTGTTTTTGTTTTCTTGCTTGCCCTATGTATCCATCCATTTGAACTGTCTGTTTCTAGTCTATCTTTATAATCACTGAACTGGTCTCATTTTGTTCCTCATAAGAGGGACTATTGCTCCTACTTTATAATCACGGGCCCACTTCATTTATATGATGTGTGTGTAGTAAGAGAAATTATCCCTTAGTATTTCATTGATATTCTGCATTTTCTACTCTATTTCCCACTGGACAACTTTTATATTGTATTTTAGATTTTTTTGGTCATATGAAAATATGCATTAAGTAAATTAACCTGTAAGCCAAGGAATTTTTTTTCCACTGAAAAGTAAAATAAAAACAAAGGCAGAGATTTTGAAATATTACTTTCAAAGCAATATTATCTACTTTCAAATCTGTTAGTGAATATCTGCCTAGTTTTAGACAGAATATAATTCCAGAGCAGTGTTGTATAACAGAACTTTTTGTTATGACAGAAATGTTCCATATCTACGCTGTCCCATGTGATAGCCCTAGCTACATACGGCTATTGAGCACTTCAAATATGACTAGTATGACTGAGGATCTCAATTTTAAATTTTATTTAATTTAAATTAATTTAAATATAAATAGTGGCCTGTGGCTAGAGGTTATGATAGTTAAGACAGTATATTTCTTTTCTTTCTTTTTTTTTTGTTGAGACAGGGTCTCACTCTGTCCGCCAGGCTGGAGTGCAGTGGTAGAAGCATGGCTCACTGCAGCTTCGACTTCTTGGGCCCAAGTCATCCTCCTGCCTCAGCCTTCTGAGTAGTTGGAACCACAGGTATGCACCACTATACTTGGCTAATATTTAAAATTTTTTGTACAGAAAAGGTATTGCCATGTTTCACAGGTTGGTCTTGAACTCCTGGCCTCAAGTGATCCTCCTGCCTAGGCCTCCCAAAATGCTGGTGTTACAGTTGCGAACCACCACGCAGAGCTTATTTTTGTTTCCAATGTTTACTTTTTCAACCTCACATATTAAAGGGATTAATTTTAAAATATATTAATCTAGTAAAAATAAACTACTAAGTTCTCTGGGAACTTCTAAAAAACTTATCTTATCTTTGAACTGTTTACTATCTAGGGATAAGAGGATGCTCCCTACCTGCTGGGAGGCTGAAGCAGCTCTCTCTTCTGCCTGACTCAGACGCCTTTGAAGTCTGTTGGCTTTTTCTCGATGCTCTAGAATTAGCTTTTCATTCTATTAAGGGGAAATAGAAAACAAGTTAGAAATCCATATGTGATATGGAGATGTTTTGTGGAATAATCAATGAAAAATCTGGACATCATTTTACCACTTATAAAATACAAATAATATTATCTCAAAATTTACATTTTTTCAAGTTATGAGCTTTAAAATAAAACTTAGCTTTACATTCTTAATAAATTGTTTTCTTTCTCCCACATGCCAGCAAAGAAAGTGAATTAACAAATCTCAAAGCAAAATGACTCAGAAGAATAAGACTTTCAATTTGTGAAGATCACTGCTTCAGAATCACCTGGACTGTGAAAACAGAGACTGCTGGGCCTTACAACCAGAGCTTTAGTAGGGTTGGGATGAACTGTTCCTGTATATTCCCCAAGACATCTGCATACTCCAGCGTCTATTAGGGTCAACACAGCTATTAGGTACTGTCATGGGTTAAATTGTGTCCTAACCCCCAGTACCTATGAATATGACCTTGTTTGGAAATAGAGTCCTTGCAGATGATCAAGTTGAGATGAGATCACTAGAGTGGACCATAATCCATATGACTGATGTCTTCATAAAAGGGGAAATTTGGACACAGAGACATACATGTACAAAGGAAAGACAAGTTGAACACAGAGAGAACACAATCTCCACGCCAAGGAATGTCTGAGGCTACCAGAAGCTGGGAGAAAGGCAAGAAACAGATTCTCCCTCACAGCTCTCAGAAGGAACCAACAATGTCAACACCTCAATTTTGGACTTCTAGCCTCTGGAACTAAGACACAATTATTTTCTGTTGTTTAAGGCACCCAGTTTCTAATACTTTGTTATGGCAAGAACTATACAGGCATCATGAATACAAAGCTGTCACAACATACTGTCATGCAGACAAGTCCAAATAATTTATCAATTAAAAAACGGATTAGCTATCTCCATACTTACTAGCCTGGTTATAGTACATCTGAGAAAGTATTTTTGTACAACTAGAATTGTTAAACAGTTTTTCTGGCACTTATCTGAATGAGATAATAATACAAGCCTAATCAGGAAGAGTTAGAAAGACACATTTTCTTTTTTTTTTTTTTTTGAAAAACACATTTTCTATGAAGAATCAGAAACTTATAGTTCCCATGTACTAACATACAAGTGATAAGAATGAATGTTATGGCTATGACAGTAATATTAAATATTGAAATAACAGTATCCTGCTAAAATGAGCTTATTATATTTCTTATTATGCCCAAAAGTAAAATTAAATGTTATGAAGAGAACTATATTGGCTGGTCCAATTTACCAAGATGTTTAAATCTGTAGCCTTTAAATTTTAAGAAGCACATCACATGCTAGAGAAAACATGGGGGAAAAATTCTATCATCTGTAATAATCATTTTCATATTTATAATCAGACTTCATATAATGCAACTTCTTCTATACTGCTACCATAACGGCTGAGGAACAGTTTAGATAGGATAAATCCTAATATATGCAACTGTTCCTTTTCTATTCTCATTTTGGTTGCTTTTGATCTTCCTATATTATTAACATTACTGTACTGAATATCTTCTTTTAAATTTTTCTGTATTGTAAATTACTTCATCAGAATAGATATCTGGAAGTGGGAGCTACCTGAAAGATTATTTTAATGGCTATTCCTTAAATAATTTCTAAATGGCTCATATCAATTCATAATGCCATGATGCTTAGGAGTAATGATTTCACTATAGTTCCTATAGTAGACCACAAAGATGGAGTAGACCATATACTCAGGGAAATTCCAACAAACATTTGAAGTCAAAAAAAAAAAAAAAAAAAAAAAAAAAAAAAAAAAAAAAAAAAGAACATCAAATGAAGATGAACATCAAATGAAGAGATCTAAAAAGCCCCAATCATAATCCAAAAATTGTTTACTTTTTGAACGCCTCAAGGAAAAAAACTTGAACTCTTGCTATATTTAGTTCTAAGTCATAAATCTAAATATATTTTAATATATTACAGTAGGCAAAAGTATTTTTTATGTGATGTGTCTTTTGGGATGGATTAAAATGAAAAAAGATGAATGGGTTAAAAAATAATTTTAGAGATGCATAAGAATAAAGGGGATCCTAATACATTCTCTGAAATACTACAAAAGTTCTATTGGTAAAACAGAAATAAGAGCTCTACCTTTTATTATTTACATATGATGAATCTGATGAATCACTGACGTTCAAAGCTTTTATTCACATTATATTGCGTGTCGGCTTTTAGGGTTATGGATGATTTCTGTATTGTTATTTCCAAGTAGAGAAATAATTTGGATTTGGCTCAGGTAAAATTCTATAACATGTGTATCAAGCTGCAGCAGAAAGCACTTCCCAGGGGAGTCATTATCTTACCTCAACTACCTTTTCATTTGCCATTTCCAGCTGAGAAAGCAGCTCTTGGGTATGAAGTTTCTGTCGACTCAGCTCACTCCTATTAATCAAAAGACAGCACCAAAAAAATCCATTAATATAATTGTTCCAAATAGAAAACAGAATCTTTATTAGCAAGATACATGTTCATGATTTGAACAAAAATATCATCTTCATGTGCAAAATAAAGTCACTTAGACCATACCTCAAAGGACTCATTTATTTCTTTTTAATAAAATACACATATATTCTAGAGATCGGTTGCACAACAATGTGTATATATGTAACACTATTGAATTGTACACTTAAAAATAGTTAAGGTGGTAAGTTTTATGTGTATTTTATCATAATTTAAAAAATTTTATCACAATTAAAATGGTAAATTTTGTTATGTATATTTTGCCAAACTAAAAAAAAAAATAAAAACACATATTTTAAAAGTACAAAAGTATCTTCAATATTATTTTGAGATACTATTAGACACTAAAATAAAAGCATACTCATATCAAAAAGATACAGTATTTATTACTACAAAATCTCGTAAGCTACTGTGCTTCTTAGCTATAGTATGTGTTTTTTTTGTTTTTTTTTTTTTAATGAGATGGAGTCTCACTCTGTAGCCCAAACTGAAGTGCAGTGGCATGACCTTGGCTCACTGCAACCTCTGCCTCCCAGGCTCAAGTGATTCTTGTGCCTCAGCCTCCAGAGTAGCTGGGACTACAGGCATGCACCACCACGCCTGGCTAATTTTTTGTATTTTAGTAGAGATGGGTTTTCACCATGTTGCCCAGGCTGGTCTCGAACTCCTGAGCTCAAGCAACCCGCCCTCCTCGGCCTCCCAAAGTGCTGGGATTATAGGCATAAGCCACCATGCCCAGCCTTAGTACGCATTTGTAAGATTCATATACAGTGCTTTTTAGGGGAGCTCAACTCTTAGAAATTTAAGGCAACATTAATTACTCCAGTATCACTTCAGTGAGGTACAGTTAGAATTGTTATTCATGTTTTGGTTGTAAATGTACTGTATTTTACTCATTCATATCATTTATGCTTCATTACCTAAAGTATCTTATGCACAGAACTGTCTTCTTTGTTGTTGTTCCACATATAAGTATTATACTGCTTTTAGTCAAAAGTCACTTCAAGAGTGTCAGGTTAAGGGTACATACAATGTAGCATTAAAAATAACTTAATCTGAACAAAGATCAGATAAATTTGTGAGTATTACATATAATGAATCAATGACATTCAAAGCTTTTCTTACTGTGTGTGAACTTTTAGGGTTATGGATGGTTATGGATGATTTCTGTATCATTATTTCCAAGGAGAGAATTAATTTGGATTTGGCTCAGGTGAAATTCTTGATTCAGTATTGGCTTTTATCCTTTGACCTTATTTGTGCTTCTGAAATCAATCAACAGATTAGCTCTTCCAAAATAACTTAAGCTTTGATTTTTTTCAAAGGAGCCAGCAAACAGCCTACAAATTTGGTAAGCCTCTCAAGTGTCCTATTATTGAGTGAATAGTTGTTAAAAATAGCAAGTAATCTGTTATAAATATATAAAACAAAAAGCAATGCCATCCACTATTCAATTATACAAATAGTTACTGAACATTCGTTACAGGCCAGGTGCAAGATATGTGGTGGCAAACATAGTTGTTGTCATCATAGAACTGACAGACTACGAGGGAAATCGGTTATTCTAACTCAGTGATTTCATAAATACAGGTTCACTGACTATGAGGGGTTTGAGTATCTATCATTAATTCCATGACAGATAAAGCCAAATATATTGTTTTAGCTTTGAGTGATAATAACAAAATATAATAAATTATTATGCTTAAAGTATCTTCTGCAGCTTAAAATTATTGCCCAACCATCCCCCCAACAACATAAGAAAAAAACCAACTAAAGAATGATAAACAAAATGACTAGTGGCCAGTCTTCTAGGTCAAATGTAATTAAAGGTGAAAGTTATACATATTAGTGCTGATGAAAAACAAATTGTGAGTATAATTGAGATTAAGATGAAACAATGATCACATTTATAAAGTTAGCCGACATTCAGTTTACACAAAACTTTTCAGGAAAATACCTACTTGTATAATTTCATGCCTAAACTATTCTTCAGTTCTTACTCAAGATAATCTGAATAATGGATAGTAATAATTTTCCACAATATTTAAGATCACAAAGACATAAATCATTAATGAAAATATACTTTAAGTTACCCTTAATCCACGTAAATATTTATCTCTTTATATGTCAAGCTCTGTCTCCCCCACTGGATGGTGAGCAACTTTGTTACTCATCTTTGTACTCAACAAAGCTTGGCAAATAATAGTGAAAATGATGTGATGATGATAATAAGAGCAAACATTTCCACAGTATTTGCTTACAATGTGCCAGACACTGTTGTAGGTGCTTTCATAAATTAATTTAATATTTAGTTTGCATGACTAATATATGAAATTCTCTTTTTTTTTTTTTTTGAGATGGAGTCTTGCTCTGTCGCCCAGGCTGGAGTGCAGTGGTGCCATCTCGGCTCACTGCAAGCTCTGCCTCCCAGGCTCATGCCATTCTCCTGCCTCAGCCTCCCAAGTAGCTGGGAATACAGGCGCCCACCACCACGCCCGGCTAATTTTTGTATTTTCAGTAGAGATGAGGTTTCACCGTATTAGCCAGGATGGTCTCAATCTCCTGACCTTGTGATCTGCCCTCCTCGGCCTCCCAAAGTGTTGAGATTACAGGAGTGAGCCACCACACCCAGCCCTGAAATCCCAATTTTTACATATGAGAAAATTAAAAGACAGAAATTAAAAAAATAAGTAACTTGCCTAGGATCACATAGCTTGTCAGTTTTTTTTGTTTGTTTTTTGAGACAGGGTCTCACTCTGTCACCCAGGCCAGAGTGTAGTGGCACAATCACGGCTCACTGCAGCCTCCACCTCCCAGGCTCAGGTGGTCCTCTTGCCTCAGCCTCCTGAGTAGCTGAGCCTACAGGTGCATGCCATCATGCTCGGCTAGTTTTTTTGTATTTTTTGTAGAGACAGGGTTTTGCCAGATTATTGCCCAGGTTGATCTAGAACTCCTGGGCTCAAGCAGTCCTTCCACCTTGGCCTCCTGAAGTGTTAGGATTACAGGCGTGAGCCACCGCATCTGGCTACTTGTCAGCTGTAGAGTCAAGATTAAAAAAAACTTGGCCCTTTGATTCCAAAGTCTGTGCTCTTAACCACTGCCATATACTGCAACATGGAAGGTAAATAATGAAAGTTCGTTGAATAACACACACACACACACACACGCAGAGAGTATATGTGTGTGTGTATGTGTATTAGGCCTTCTAGGAATATGAAAATTTATATACTTACTTGGAAACCTAACAATTAAATTTTTACTTCAGACTTCTTCCCTAAAAGTCCAGTCTTAAACTCAAACTTAACAAGCCTAATATCAAGCTTTTTGCATTGTCTCACAAATCTACTTCTCATCCTGCTGCTCAGTTTTTATACTGACATCTCCGCTCTAGGTGTCTAGGTTAAAAAGTTTAAAGTCAACTCCTATTTCTCACTTTGTACTTCTTTTTTTTGTGAGACAGTCACGCTCTGTTCCCCAGGCTGGAGTGCAGTGGCATGATCTCAGCTCACGGCAACCTCCACCTCCCCCGGTTCAAGTAATTCTCCTGCCCCAGCCTCACCAGTAGCTAGGATTACAGGCACCCACCACCATGCCCAACTAATTTTTGTAGTTTTAGTAGAGATGGGGTATCACCATGTTGGCCAGGCTGGTATCAAACCCCTGACCTCAGATGATCCACCCACCTCGGCCTCCCAAAGTGCTGGGATTACAGGCATGAGCCACTGCGCCCAGCTTCTCACTTTGTCTTAAATGCAACTTCTCATTTACCCCGAAAGAGACTCTCTCTTTGATAGGTCTCTTGCATCTATTTTTCATTCCTACCCAGTGTTACCATCCCAATTCAAGTTCTTAGAACTTAATTCTTAGATTTATTGTAGTAACAAGCTGCTTGGGTTTCTCAATATCAAGTGAAACAATGTATGTAAAGTACTCTACCACAGGGCATATGAATGCACTCAACCGATACAGTGGGTTTCCCTCTCTAAACCATGTATCTCTAGCATATTTCTCTTTCCAAAACACCACTTTAATAATTTGCTTCCTTGAGCTATACTCTTCAATGGCTCTCAGCTATTGGACAAAATAGTCCAAATTCCTGAGAATATCATAAGCTCCTTCAAAATTTTGTGTAACTTATCTTTCCAACCTTATCCCCAGTAGGAACCTTCCACACTTCAGTTGGGCTCTCATTGTTTCGAAAACAAACTGCATATGTATTACCTCAGGATCACGCTTATGTCATTTTTTAGATTGTGTTTTTCAGATTTCCCATTAGAATTCTTCCCATTCTTTAAGACTGCACCCTTGTCTCCCTTCTTTTCAGGTCTCCTTTCCATTCATTTTAATCCAGAAAGTTTTCTTTACACATCAAATCTTTATGATACTGAATACTTATTTTATGTATGAGAGATTTATCAATCCTGTATTATAATGCTAGTGCTTTACATATATGTACACACACATACATACATACATTCTCCTAAATGGAATAGGAACTTTTTTTGTTGTTTTGAGATGGGGGTCTCACTCTATTGCCCAGGCTGGAGTGCAGTGGTATAATAATGGCTCACTGCAGCCTTGACCTTCTGGGCTCAAGTGATCCTCCCACCTCAGCCTCCCAAGCAGCTGGGGCTACAGGCATGCACCACCATGCCTGGCTAATCTTATGTTTTGTAGAGATGATGTTTCATTATGTTGTTCCGGTTGGTCTCAAACTCATGGGCTCAAGACAGCCTCCCACCTCGGCTTCCCAAAGTGCTGGGATTACAGTTGTGAGCCACCATACCCAGTAGAAACTTTTAAAAGAAGAATTATTTTTAGTTGCCACAATATCTACCACACTGCTTTACACATCCAAATGGAGTCATGTATCACTTAATAATAGGAATACATTCTGAGAAATTTATCATTAATTTTATTGT